CGGACCTTGCCAAAGCCGTGTTCGCCCTAAATCCCCTCACCGTCGACTCCGACAGGTGCGGCCGTAAAACTAACCAAAATTGTCGCCCTTCAATAGTGCGCATTAACCTCGATCGAAAGATTCGAAAACAAAAACCGCCTCTCTGCCCCCGGCTCCGCCAATCGATCGCGTTCTCACGTTGTTTTGCACGCGGCGGCGCCAACACAAATTCGCACAAAATCGTGATTTATGCGGTCAAGTTGAGCATTTGTTGTGACAACGATTCGGTTACACAACGGATGCACGGACCGCGTAATTGTCTCCTTAGCAATTACGTCCGCTACGCAACCGTAACGTAAGTCGAACAGGACCGTACGCGTTTTTGCTTGACCGACATCCCGAATGATGATTCCGGGGCATTTCCGCTCGGATTCGTGGAGGCAGCGGCCACCTCTGTACGAAAGAATCGCAGCTCGTAGGCAATTGTCGCCGAGCGAATTGCCGCAACCTTCGCATTAGCTAACGTTTATTTGTTGCTTCGCAAATTGAAGGCCATTTATTTTTGTAATGTTGAGCGGTCGAGTGTGCAGACGGAGATCTACGTGTTGAATCGCGCAATTAAATGTCGAGCGAGAAGGGGGCGGACTTGAATAAATTCGGCGTCGCGACGCTTATCGACGTCGCAAGGTGCGTCACGGTAGCCGCAGCAACAGGAGCGATTCATCCCCTGGTGACGTCAAATCGGCAATTTGTGCGCGAATTTCGAAAATAAATCAACGCTGCGTCGGGAAAGAGACGGAGATACGTTTTGTAATTTCATTAAAACTTTGTACAGCTTTAGCGAATTACAATCCCCGGTTTATTTCCCAGGTGGATCGCGATCAATTTATCAAAGGACTCGCCGTGTTATTTTACAGATTTTTCAGGCGCGCTTTTTTCAGCTTCGCCGCTTGTTTTGTTCAATCGGTTTCCAGTCATTTGCATAAAGCGCGCACGATGACGTCATTTGCTTATTGACACGAGTCGCATGGGAGACACACAATCGCGTCGGGTTTATTTAAAGTCGGCGATAATTTGATTGCTGCGAACAATTCGAGAACGACGTCGATGAGTGCGAAGAAAACGAATTTCTGCTTTGTTTTACGCGGCGACCCACTCGAAAGAGGAAGGATCAAAGCGTGTTTGTATAGCGCTATTTTTGGATTATCAGCGACAAATTCGTCACAATATTTGTGCAAAATTTAACACCGAATTACAAAAATGTTTCATGTATGAGGAAAAAACTCGCCATTGTTGGATCCTTATTCCGTCAAGGTGATTTAAGAAATCGTTCAAAATTCAATTCAATTCTGATGATTTTTTTTATTCGTCGTTAAGTCGAGGGGCGGAATTTAATAGTAAAATCCCTATTTTCCTACGAGAAATTTCCATGTGAAATATGTTCTTAAGTAATCGTGTTATACAAGGAAAACCAATTGCATTAATTAAAAAAGAAAACCAAAAAAGAAGCTCCACCCATCCGGCTCAATCTCAGTCGTGATGAATTTTTCATTCGTTGTCAGACCGGGGGCGGAGCGTATTTGTAAAATTGATATTTCCCTATACAAATTTGCCATTTTAAACATGTTTTAAGTTTCTTATTGCGAAAATATGACTGCACATATTAAGAAAAAAAAGACAAAATGTAGACCCGCCCACCCACCCTATCTCAATTCCGATGATTTTTTTCTTTCAATTGTCGCGAGCCAAAGGGGCGGAATTTAGTTGCACAATCCTTATATATTTCTCAACATGAAATTACAATGAAACACATGTTTTTGAGAAAATTTGTTATTCAAAACATACCGTGATATTTTAAGAAAAAATAAAATCAAAGATTAAACCCCACGTATTCCTGCCCTGATCTAAATAGTAATGAAGTTTTCATTCGTCGCCAGATTTCAGGGCGCAGCCTAATTGCAAAATCCATATTTCCTTACAAAAACTTACCACTTTAAACGCGTTTCTAAGAATAAAAAAAATCATCACAATTGAGAGGGGGTGGGTGGGCGGGGTTAATATTTTGCCTTGTTTTCTTAATATACATATTATTTTTTGAACACTATACTCAAAAATATGTTTATAATTTTTTGTAAAGAAATAAGTATTTTGCAGTTAAAAAAATCATCACAATTGAGACAGGGTGGGTGGGCGGGCCTACATTTTGCCTTTGTGTTTTAGTTTGTGTAGACTTCTTGTCACAACATGAAACTTAAAACATGTTTAAAATGAGACTATAGACTACAGATTTTAAGAAAAAAAGGGTAAAATGTTGGAATGTAATACTAAAAATAAGTAGATTTCCAAAATTTTCTGGGAAAATGGAGTAAGGATCCTCCACACGCAATATTTTTTCAGTCCGTGCGTCTAAATCTGTCTCAGAATTTTTCTGGATTTTTGGACAACTTTGCCAAAAGTTTAACTTTTCAATATTTTTGAAATTTGAATTTTTGACCTCTTATCGCAAAGCTTTGAAATTTTTTACCTTTTCCCGGACGCCTTCGAAAATTAGCTACAGAGGTTCTTTTGTTGACTTTTGGCCAACTTTGGTAACAGTTTAATTTTTTAATTTTTGACTTTTTAACGAACACGTTCGAAAATTCGGTGAAGAGATTCTTTTTTTGGTTTCGACCTCCAGAAATTGTTTTCGGTTCCATTTCTAAAAATATTTCAGAATCGCCAAAATGAAATATGGTAATTTTTGCGATATCTTAAAAATTTGAATTTGAAACCGAATATTCGAAAAATTTTGCTCTGGAAATGTTAATATGTTATGTTCATTAGCTTCGCTCGTCAAGATCTATAACCTGGAATTTTTTGCGAATTTTTAGGCAACTTCGTCAAAGGCCCAGTTTTTCAAAATTTTTTACCATTTTTCTAAAATACCCAAAACAAAATATGAGAATTTTTGACCATTTTAGAAATTTTATTTTGGATCGGAATATTTCGGAAACCAATCTTCTTATTGATGTGGGGTTAGTTTCCCCCGTAGATGTATCATCTTGAGCAATCACAATTTTTTCGTCATTTTTTGGACACCCAGTCCTTCACTAATGATTCTAGAGAAGTTCTTAATATATTGGTTTCGATTCCTCCGGAATTTCTGTTTGTGTAGCGCTATTTTTGGATTATCAGCGACAAATTCGTCACAATATTTGTGCAAAATTTAACACCGAATTACAAAAATGGTTTATGTATGAGGAAAAAACTCGCCATTGTTGGATCCGTATTCCGTCAAGATGATTTAAGAAATCGTTTTTTCGTCCGGAAGTTCACAATATTCCGGCGTAGCATCGTTTCATTTCCATTCGTCCCATCGATATTCCGGCGCGGCTTCTGTTTAGCGTGCTGAATCCATAATACCTAGAGGCTTGACGTCAATTAAATTAATTGCCTCTTAAATGATGTAATAAAACTGGCAGGGTTTAAATCTGACCTAGCAGTGTTCCACTAAAAAGCTTCTTACGCATATGGGAAAGTTAATTCCGCGTGAAGAAGCTGCATGATGCGATCTACCAAAATTTGTAAATTACGGTTTGACGTCCAACAAAATGGACTTTTTATCGAGATTCCTGGCTTATTGTTTTGTAAACGTCGATATGGCGTCGACCATGTATAAATAACTCTGTATAATGGATGCGCCACTGACCCGTGCGGTATCTGGCGGGGTTGATCCGGGGCTTACGCCGGCACAATGGGGGTTATTGGGAGGTTTTTAATCTCGAAACTGTAATTACAGTGTGGAAAGTTGTGCATTTCGCACGGTGGCCGTAATGAACCCATTGCGTCAATATTTAGCGTTGCGTAACCCATTCGAGGTGTGAAACGACGATTTTGTCCAAGAAACGCGCTGCAGCAGCGCTTGTTTAGCTTAACAAGCGCCAAAGAATGTGGAGCAATAAAACGAAATCGCGACAGAGCTTTATTTACACAGTCGATATTAGAAATGGAAGCTGTATTCACCCATGAAACTCCTAGAACGGGAATGAATCCACCCATTTCGATTTAGTCGTCGCTTTATTTATAACGAGAGATTCGTTCGTTGCGACAAACACACCGACGTTCCGTCAATTGCATACCGAACGCGTCCAAACTGGAAAATGTAACAATGGCAGCCAGCGGAAGACGTGATTCCGAGCACGTCCGGTTCTACCCTCGGAACGATCTTCCATTTCGAGAAGTTGCGCCGCCATTAAAACGAGAAAGAGCTGATAAGTTGGCGGCGGTCGCCGCCGCATTTTTTATCAATTTTGCCTTAATTGGCGGCCGCAGCAAACAAATAAATCTCGCCTTTATTGACTGGAAGTTTCCTTCCGTACACAAAATTCGGCGAAAATTATCTGCTGTGATGTTTGCATTGGCGACAATTTACGAACACCCTCGGACGACAAAAGGTCAAAGCAGACGCCAACGCTGCACCCGACCACCCTTGCTAATTACGATACGGAACTTTCGGTGTTGTTTTATCCACTTAGATTGCAAATTTATTGGCGGCGTGGATGGAAAATTCTGAGCGACCTAAAGGTGTAGGTGTAGGGCGAAATCGGTCCTTCGAACCGGATATTTGGCGCGCGTGCGACGTTCCTGCCAGCGAAATGTACAACAATAAAGATAACGTCATTATGCTGATAAACTGAACGACCTTGTAAAAGTAAACCTGATATAGATGTATTATAGGTGAACACAATCTTTTTTTGCTCGATAAATCAATTCATTTAGCGCTTTTACGCATTCCGCGCTTGGCTATTTTTTCCAGATGCGATAGATAACTTTGAAGTGACATCAGAGAGTCTAATAAATTAGCGAAGGTCGTCTTTTTTCAATTGCAATAAATCGACTTTTGCATTTTTCATTTGAAACGTTGCCAGATTGGTCCGCGAAAACTCGCTGGCGCCTAGGTCCGCGCGTTTCCCGAGCCATCCGAGCGTGTCCGTCGACTCCACTTTTGTGCACAGAATGCTGATGAAGGTCGTTGTCTTCAGGTGAACCCGTCCAGCAGCGACCCCGTCACGCAGCAGATCCAGAGCAAGCTCGGCGACTTCCAGAGACTCAAGCCGTTCCTCGACCACACCCTCGGCGTCGATGGCGTCCCGCCCAGTCCCGGCGTGCCCAACGGGCCGTCGTCGCGCCACAACAACGTCTTCATGGCGAACGTGCCGGCGTCGGGGGCGTCGGCGCGCCTGCAGCCGTCGCCGGAGGCCCGGCCAGAGTTCAAGAAGCCGCACCATCACCAGCTGCACCACCAGCACCAGAGGGGCGGTTACGTGAAGCCGGCGGACGGGAAGCCGCCCTACGAGGGCAGGGGCGGCTATCCGGGCCAGCCCGTCAAGCACGGCAGCGGCATCACCAACCACAGGTGCGTCCACGAAACTCCGGCAGCCACGAAAATGCGCGTTTCTCGACAAAATCACCCGTGATTGTCTCGTGGCTGCTCGAAGCTCTCTTAGCTTGTTTTTCGCCGCACACTACACAACATGTAATGGCCCTACCCTCTGTAGTAATCCCTAAAATGCTTTTCAGTCAGCACTATTTCGGAGAAATGGAGAACCTTTTACAATGACAACAGGTTCTTATTGCGTGTGAAACTTTTGCATTGTGTGTTCTGTGTTTCTTTTCGAAAAATTCAAATCGGTTCAAAATTGACTGTACTGTTTTTACGAACGTGGTATGCGATTTTATCTATTTTCTTTCAATCTGGTCGTTGTGGTAAATGTGCTCGTTTTTCTGAAATGAAGGTGTTTTAGCGCTAAAACAGCTGACAAGGTGCAGCGGATGCTATTGGTCCGGCGCGGGGTCACGTGTCGCCACTTCCAATCACGACAAGGCGAATAGGCGCCAAATTCGAAGTGTTGAGGCGTCACGTGACTCGCGCTCCAGCGGAAACCGTTTCTCCGAACTCGGGAAGCGTTTTTCGCCCTTGTTTATCTATAATCGAGAAAGTTCCGTGTGCACGAGAAATGTGGCGGATGTTGTTTTGGAGTAGATATGCTTTTTTTACCATATTTACTACAAAGAATAGACGTGAAAGCTTTTAGTTGTTGGTGAAATAGTGGCCGGCACGTGATCATTACAGTGATTTTGTTCCGAAGGTCCAATGGGATTCTTCCTGCCAAGGGTCCACCCCAGTCTTCGCCAAATGCCTCGGCTTCCTTACTGCCGTCCAACAACTCCTCGAGTCGGTTACACGCCAGTGGTGCCCGCAATCATCCCCGCAATACATTCGAACAGGTGAGTGGCCCGAGTACGCTCAATCCAATAATGAGCAACACCATTACGAGCGTGCCGTGAATCCGTTCGGTCCGCTCCTTTCGTCGCTCGCCGAAGATTTATCGCTTTATGAGTCCGATCGGTGGATTTATTGCCTGCTTCGGACGGTCCCTCCAAATTGCTTGTTCACATTCAGTCAATTTGCCGTTCAATAAAATAAAATATCAGACCGGCGCATCGACTCCGAGAAAGTTACCGCAGATCCATAAATTATTCACGCCGGTTTTATGATCTCTCACAAGTTCGATTTTTTCTTGTTCGCGTCTTCCATGAAAACATCGATCGACGCAATAATGTTTCGACTCGTTGCAGAATCAAGGACCTCCGGCTGGCCCGAGGGAACCTTTGCCTTCCGCTACACCCAACACCGACATGGAGAACATATTCAAGGTGAATGCGACCCCATTTTCGCGAACCGCATCTGCCGTTGTGCAATTGTTTCGCGGAGGAAGCGATGAGCGGACGGCTAATCGATGAACAAGGAAACTTTAATTGCCGTATTTAAAGTTCCGCGGAAATCGAGTCTTGGATTAGCTCCGCTCATCGCCAACTCGTACTCATACTGAAACCTGTACTCCTCGTTCGCAGGAGATGATCGAGAGTCGAACTCCCGTCACTGCCATCGCCGCAACTCCCAGGAAGGAGCCCGACCATAAGTTCACCTTCAGCCCCGGTTTCGCCAAGGTGAGTGATCAGGATTAATTGCGGTCACGTGTTGTCATCGTAACAACGCGTAATTGTCGTGCCCATCGATCCCATATTAATAAATTACATGGCGTGATGCTAATCACTTCTTTTATTTTATTTCAGTTGACGGAGGCGACGCCAGCGCCGCCTGCACCCAAAAGTAAGTACCAGAGTATGTCGTGTGAAATGACACTAGACAAGGACGCCCGACGTCGTCTCTCTCGCGCGCGCAAATCAAGTGACAAGGTGCGAAGGAGTCCTTGTCTAGCCGTCGCCTTTTTTTTTGTTTTTGTTTTTGCGATTAGTCGCAGGGCCCGTAATGAATTAATCACCGCCGCCCGCAGCCCACTGCCCCAGTTCGGTGCGCGCGCGTGTGCGTGGTCGTCATGGCAACGCGTTCCCGCTCCGAGGGTAGCACGCCTAGCCTCGGCGCGGGGCGAGGGGCGGCCGACGCCGGTGCAGCCGAATGCACACACGCCGCATAGTACGAGTGCAGTGTGGGTTCGGTGCGGACGTACGTTCGCGATGGCGGTGTCCGTCTAGCTCGCGAAAATCGCCGCTTTTCGCACATGGTTGCGCGCGGGCGCTACGCGCACGCGGTACTCGCTCGCCTTTGTTTGGATCGTCTTCCGCTGCCGCCGGTTGTTGACACGGACATGTCGAAATGTGACGGCGGTGGGACGACGCTAGCGATGGGTGCTCGAACTAATTGTGCCGCGGTGGAGTAGTACGGGTGGTACTGTAGGAGTTACGCAACCAGGGTTAACGCACGCCGGGGCGACGCAGCTCTTTGTGCCCAACGGCCGAGGCGGCGTGACATTGAAGAGGTACTTCCCGCCTGGACGTTTAACAGTGTGTCTTTTCCGAACGAGTGGTACCGAGATCCGTCTTGACGGACGCGTCTAACGGTGTGTTCGAAGGTCCGGTGCTGTGACGGAGTTTACCAAGTTCGAGGGAGGTTGCTGACCCATTTCTGTACGTGACTAGTTTCGGGCGGGATAAGGGGAGACGCTAGTTTTGATTTCACTGTCATAATAATAATAATAATAATAATAATGATCATCAACCGTGTTTTGTTTATATCAGAAATTCTCACAGAATTTTTGACATCTCGGTTAGCCATGCTTGTATAAACTACACCAAACGACGTAAAACCACCTTTGGCAATTTCAGTTATTAAACTGTCAATGCTAGTTTTGAGGTTATGAACAGAAACGTGGGTATCAATGAACAATGCGATTATACAAGTCAGTAGTTAGGGGACCAAGGGCTTTCATAAATTTCCTTAGAACCTTTTGCTTCTTCAATGAAAATTAGTCCGGTCACGTGACCTTACTATTTATTAATAAAACATAAAAATGAAACATGAATTTGAATTACCAACGCACACAGAGATGACAGTTATTGTGAAATTTATTTTATTTCGGTAAAGAGAAATGTTATCAGTGTCAAAATTTTCTGAAGACGCATAAAAAACAATATATGTAAATATTAAATAAGAGTACGAAACAATATGTCTCCCATTTCCGTATGTCTGTCTGTCTGCCGTCTGTCCGGATTTTCATTAGACAGATAATCCCCGAAACTACTGAACCGGTTGTCAAGTCAAATTTTATACATATGTGGATTACGAATATCGTGTAGATGGTCAAACGCTAATCAAAATTTGGCTAGTCATCTCTAAAATTTACAATAGTACATATTATTTAAATTTTACAAAATAAGATACTCCTCCACATGTAGTTTATGAACCCTTGTTAAGTTTTTGTCTAAGATTTATCAAGACTACTCAAGATTTCTCTAGATTTCCCTGAAATTTCTCGACCTTTTTCGAGCCTTCTCAAGAATTTTCAAGATATCTCAACAATTTCCAGGATTTCTCGGCATTTCTCAAGGTTTCTATATTTCAAAATTTCGAGATTTCTTAAAATTTGTTGAGATTTCGAAGTTTCTAGAGTTCGAAATTTCTTAAAATTTCTCTTACCAAGATTACTCAAGATTTCTCTAGATTTCACAAGATTTGTCAAGAGTTCCTTGAAATTTCTCGACCTTTTTCGAGTCTTCTCAAGAATTTTCAAAATTTATCATGATTTCTCAGGACATTTCAAGGTTTCTTAAGATTTTCTCATGATTCTCAACGTTCTCAGGATTTTTCAAGATTTCTCAACATTTCTCAAGGTGTCTATATTTCAAGATTTCTCAAGATTTCAAGATTACTCAAAATTTCTCTAGATTTCATAAGATTTCCAGGAAAGTTCTCGACGTTTTGCGAGGAAATCTTGAGAAACCTTGAGTCATCTTGAAGTCTTCATAAATTGATAATAAATTTTGAGACATATTGAAAAATCTAGAAAAATTTTGAGAAATATTGAGAATTGTGGAGAAATTATGAAAAATCTTGAGAAACTTTGAAATGTCCTGAGAAACCATGATAAATCTCGAGAAATCTTGTGAAATTCAGAGAAACCTTGAGTAATCTTGAAGTATTGATAAATCTTGAGAAATATTGAGAAATCTTGAAAAATTTTCAGAAATCTCGGAACTCTTGAAACTTCGAAACCTTGAAAAATCCTGAGAAATCCTGAGTATTGTTGGTTTATTGATTTGATTTGATTTATCCAACGGGCATAGCCCACATAGGAAACATAGTACAAAGAAAAGAAAAAAAATCATAAAACAATAAAAAATTGAGAAATGATGAGAAATTTTAAGAAATTGATAATTCTTGAAAAATCCCAAGAATCTTTAGAAGTCTTGAAAAATTTTGAGAAGCTCGAAAAACGTCGACAAATTTTGAGAAAATCTTGAGAAATCTTGTGAAATCTAGAGAAATATTGAGAAATCTCGAACCACGAAACCTTGAGAAATTCTAATAAATTTAGAGAAGTCTTAAGAAATCTTGAGACACTAAGAAATTTGAAGAAATCCTAAGAAATCCCGAAAAGTGTCGAGAAATCTTCAGAAATTCGGGGAAATCTTTTTACAGTGTAAACTCAGTACCAAACAATAGGTATCCCATTTCCGTATATCTGTCTGTTTGCCGGCTGTCCGGATTTTCATTAGACAAATAATTCCCGAAACTACTGAACGGGTTGTCAAATTCTATATGTGGATTACGAATATCGTGTAGATGGTAAAACGGTAATCAAAATTTAGCTAGTCATCCCCACCAAAAATTTGTTGACGTCATCTCCAAAATTTACAATAGTACATATTATTTAAATTTTATAAAATAAGATACTCCTCCGCATGTGGTTTATGAACACTTGTTAAGTTTTTGTCTAAACATCCAGATTTTTGGAGAAAAAATCAAGTTGCTTATTTACGGCAAAGTGCCTTGACAGTATACGTCAGTACATAATTCAGACGATCTTTAAGTTCTTTAGAACCACTGGGCATTTTTGGCACTTTGGGAAGTTTAGAATGTTTAGAATTTCAAAAATCGCCAGGACCTTTAAAGCGATTTAGAATTTCTGCAATCATTAAAATTATTGGAATTTGTCTAATCTTTCTAATTTATAGAATCTTTAAGGTCTTTAAAATGTTTTGCAGTCTCCAAAATCATTGGATATTTTGGACACTTTGGAGAAATCACAGGATCTTTAACTCCGCTAATCTTTCTAATTCAGAAGAAATTCTTTAGAATATCTACGAGTCTTTAGAATCTTTTGAAGATTTTTGACGCCTTAGGAAGTTTAGAGTCATTGGAATTTCAAAAATCTCCAGGATTCTTGAGGCGATCTGGAATTTCTAGGATCATTAAGCCCTTCAGGATCTTTCAATTTTTTAGGATTATGTTTAGAACTTAAAACTTTATCCACAAGTTCCTGACATAATAATCGACACAGCATTCATTCTTCCAGACGACTTGTAGAAAATTTGTTGTCATAAATTAGAAAATTGACCACTTGTCAAAATTAAATTAAATTTTATCCTAAACATCCAGATTTTTGGAGAAAAAATCAAGTTGCAATTTAACTTTGCTGTCTGAAATTTTGCAAACGTTTTAAGGTTATCGTAACCGTGATAAGTAGTTAATCTTTTTTTTTTTTCGTTTATGGCCCTGTAAAACAATAATGACGTCATTTTAGAATTTTGCCTAATTAATTTATATTTACCAAATATAAGTTTTGGTGAATTCTCATCTGAATGACTCGGGTTTAAGTATTGAATTATCGGACGTTTTAGAAGAAATTTCTAAGTTGAAATCAATTTTTTTCATCTATTTGAAGGTACTGTATCATTTTGTATTTAGTTTTTTATTGCTTTTTTTACAAATTAAAAAAAGGTAATTTTTGTGTAGTTTTTAAAAAAAATGTGGCTTTCTAAAGATTTTGTGCTGATTCTTGTAATCTAAACCTCTTGAAAGTCGAATTCGGTCTAAGTATAAACATAAACAGTCGGAAGGTAAGCATGTACTGAGAAATTGATAATGTCTATATTTTTCCCGTTAGTTATCTGCTTTAAATATATTTCATATTTAAAAATGCAGGACTTGTGGGGATGTTAATTACGCAATTTTTTAACAGCGCAGAATTTGTCGGACGATACTTCAAGGGCGAGGGAAGTTCTGTCAAAATCACCTTTCACAATCTTTTTTCTAGCTTTGTTTTTCTTGGCAGCGTCATCAAAATTCCAAAAACAACATATTTTTTCCAAAACGTCAATGTCGTCGGCAAAACTAAAAATAATAATAGTAATAATACTCAATCAACATCTGTAGGTATACAATAAAACAGGGCCACACTGTGAATTTCCCTGGAGTCCTATGCGATTTAGGTTAACTTGGTGTCACTTTCACGTCAAATGTCATCTATTTTGACACTTAAACGGTTGCTGAAGCTTCAAAATCAAGTCGCCACTTGACATGATCCTAGTGTGTGTGGGTAAACGGTCCAGCGCTGCTAGGGTCCAGCTCGTGAGTGGCCGCTAATGGGCAATTTACACAAACATGAACCGGCCAAGCCGAGTCGTCCGACAATTACCTTCTTAGGAAGTTTAGTCGGTTTATTTAATTTCGCTTTAAATAATTTTCGAAGGCAGCCATGCATTGATAATGCGTCGTGTTACTATGGATAAATTGCCGGCAAATTCGCGTGATGTTCCAAGAACTTCAGCCAGTTCTTCGCTCGATATTCCAAAAATATTTTAGTTCCGTAACTGTAAATAGAAAAGTTCAAGTAGCGTAGTGGCGACGTCGTTTATCTTGTGGATTTTTGTCATGATTAATTTCGCGGCGCCATGTTGGAAGTCACGTGTGACGGACTCGATTGTGAAGTTAAGAAGTGGTTAGAAGACGAAGTTGGATAGTTCGGGAGTTGACCTATGACAAGATGCACTTGGAAGTTTCACACTTGCGTCAAGCAAGTGTGAAATTTGACAGCTGATTCCGTGCTTGTGTTTGTTTACGTGCCTGATTAGTGCCAGCGTGTTTGACAATGGGGTGAGCGATGGGCGATAAGTGAGACAGTGATGAATCAAAGACGGACTCTGTCAAATCGATTGTCATTCATTGATGATACACTCGAGGCCGCTGTCACTCGTAATTGATGCTCGCGATTTGTACACTTGTGACATAACTGATCACTGATAGTTATGACATGACTGCATGTATCAATGATAGTTAAGACAGTGACGCGTAACTGTTAACTATAATTGAACCGTGTAAACCGTTGATAGTCGGATCATTTGCTCATTTCGATTCAAAACGTCCGAAAACTAGTTCTGCCCCATCGCATTATTTCCTGCGTGCGGTTGACAAAGCTCCCAAGGGCCAGGTGCTGTCATTTCCGACGTCTGTTCGCTCTAATACCTCAAAGCGAAACAGTTCCTCGGCTCGCCTTAGAGAACCCTGACGTGTACTAGTTAAATTAAGCGGCGTTAACTCTCCCCGAATAAATCCTGACACTTTCCGCTAGAAAAAGATCGCCGTGAGTACATTCATATTTAAACAGGCGGCCCCCCTCCAATCGCAACCCTTATCGATCAGCGCCGTATTGAATTTAAATCATCCTCATCTCGTCCCAACAATCCCGGCGTCTCGACGTTAATTCTTTGTTCGCGCCACATAATAACAGCGTTTCCTATACAACACTCCATTAGGCCACCTGACTGCAGGTGTTCGCGCGCTAACAGGTGGCCAGCTACTGCTATAATAACCATCATACCAACTTGTGTTTTTTCCCGGCTTTTGTTAATGTGTGTTTTTTTTTCTTTCCAGAACGCGAAAAGGTGCCCGCCCCTAGACCCTCGACGTAAGTATGCAAGAAACAACACTTTCACGTTAATTGCCGAGCCAGCAGCAGCTCGACTCATTAGCAGCAACTTGTCTGGTAGCTTCGCGTGCTCAAGATGCCACTTAGCTATTCGATTATAAGCCATGAAAGAAAACGGTAGTCTGATCGGCTTTGTGTTGCGGGGATTGTTCGCCAGCGCGGAAATGGAACTTCGCGGCGGGAAAACCCTCCTTTCCGATTGGACGACGTTCGAGTTTGACAGCTGTCGCCGCGAATGGGCTGCGAGGTCGCGCCGACGACGATCGAACGGCGAAATTCGGCTTCCGGACGAGGCCACTTATAAATAAGAACGAGAAAAATCGGGATCGCGCTTCAATTGTTAGCGATAACGTCGCAATAAAACGACGTTTCTTTGACCAGCGATGTTATTCATAAGCTTGCCGATTGTTATTACCAACCCGTCCGATATGTAAAGTGTACTTTATGTCATGTAAAATTCATTTTTCAATGATCGATCGCCGGTTATTACATGTTTCAAGTAACCTGAATTAAATTCTTAGAACAACGTGAATTTCCAACTGGATACAAAATTAATAAGCTGTCAGCGGCTCGCGACGCACTTTGAATATTTTATTTCAGGACGGAGTGACAAGTTAAAGGTTGGTTTTTCGCGGATCGACTCTCCTGAAAAACACCAATTTCCAGTGGATAATTGCGTCGACAGATAACTCATCGCTCCAGTAATTGGTTTATTAAAACCGGCGGATCGATGCGATGGAGAGTGCTCCCGTCCGAGTCCATTGATCGGTTTATGGGGCTCGATTTCTCCAATTTTTGTCTCCTTTCGACGGATAATTGCGCCGTAAAAATAATCCCGAGGTTAAAACACTTTTCACCCTTTTTCCGAAATTAGGTGTAATACGGCCCGTTGCGGCACTTTTCGCAAGCACGAGGTGTAATACGGCCTAATATTTGCAACAATTTCAAGTGTCATACGGACTGAAGTGTCAAGCGTTAATGTGATACGGCCGGATGTTCATAATCAAGTGCGCGAAACGGCGATATCACACCTCATGCTTAGGCCGTATTACACCGCGTTTTCAGAAGTAAAAAAATTGAGTCAATTTGGGAATTCGCACTCACTAACCGCGTTAAAAAAAAAACAGAAACGTCAGCGGTTGACGTAGTTGTGGTTCCCTACGACGCGTATAGTCCATATTTTCTGCCCAATTAGCGTCAACAAAAATTTTGCAAATATCGCTTAAGTTAAAGGTTGCCGTTTCGCGTTTGCGAAAAACGCCAATTTGCAGCGGCTAATTGCGTCGACAGATAGCTCATCGCTCCAGTAATTGGTTTATTAAACCGTCAGATCGACCCGATTGGAGACCGTTTCCCGCCCGAGTCCATTGATCGGTTTATCGGTCTCGATTTTCTCCACGTAATATTTTTAACGCGTATACGTGATACCCAAGATGGCGTCGCAGAAACCGGCGTTTTTACCGCATCGCGTGCAATATGTGGGTGGCCGGAACGAGTCAATGTGGAAAGATAAGAAACCGTAAAAATACACCGGGAGATAACATCGCATTGCCAGACTTTAAACACTCAATTCCTTCGGAACGACTTCATCGGAATTAGCCGGTTCGAGGAGTGCACCGGGGGATCGCGTCCTCAAGGTCGCGGACTTTTAGTGGCCGCCGTTCGCTTTGATGTACGACGAAAACGGGATGAATTTAGCTCGCAGCGAGCGAACTTTTATTGTTTCCCTCTTAACGCTCGATGCGGCGCGTCTTCAAACAACCGCACAAAAGAATATGTCGGTAAATCTGAGACCGGAAAATGAAATCCCCTCAAGTTAGTTGTCTGTTTCATTTTTCGTTTGTGTATATTTCGCGATAATTCTCGACGATTCTGAGTTTCTTTTACGAGTTGGCAGCGTGCCAGCTGATTTATTATGAAAAATGTGGAGGTTCTTCCGGGGCGGGTTGTCAAAACAAGGGGGTGGGCGGACCATCAGGTGGCCCGACGTGACCAACTTTTCACCGGGAAGCGTCTACGAAGCGGAAAAACCAATCGTAGAACTTTTTGTTTACGAAAATCGACGTCTCGCTGTTGGTTTGCGGCTTAGTTTCGGAGATAATTGTCATACGAGCGACGCATAGTTGTCAACAAGGTGGGCACCCGTGTTTGAGCTGTGATTCTAAAAGACCGCGGCGCGTCATACCCCGATCAGATTACCTCTTTATCTCGCCCTTGACATTTCCACCCATCACGCAGGTGCTAATCGTCACTCTAATTGCAGCGACCTCCAAGATGATCTAAATCTGTCAGATGACAGCGATGACGAACAAAAGCGCGACCAGCAATCTTCCAAGTTACCAGTAGAAAAGTAAGTCTACCTTTAGAACTTTACTAAGTCACTAAAACACGATATGTCAATTTGAAATGTCGTAACTCTGGGTTAACGCTTCCCTTGTAGCAGGATGGTCTCCCCCCTGGGCGCCACCCCCGCCGTGAGCAACTTCTCCAAGATGGAGTTCGCCCCGGAGCCGGCGCCGCCGCCCCCCGCGTCGTCGTCGAGCGACTCCGGCTCGGACAGCGGCTCCGAGAGCGACTCCAGCAGCGACGACTCCGTCGAAGACAACGTGTCGTCGTCCAACGCCGCCAAGCCCGCCGCCGCCGACCCTGCGCCGTCCCCTCCGCCCGAGGAGAAGGACAAGAAGCGGTGGAACCTCGGCTCGTACCTCGAGTTCGACAACGCCAAAGCCGACTCGGCGCTATCGCCGAAGACGACGTCGCCCGTCACCGCCGACAAGAAGGCGCCCGACGAGTCGGACGGCAGCGACTCCAAGGACCTGGACAGCGTAGTCGCGGAGGCATTGGCGGTGAAGGCCGTGCCGCTGCTGTCGAGCTTGTCGGACTCGGACGACAGCGCGACCGAGCGGCGCGCCAAGAGGCGCCGCCGAGTTACCAAGAGTTCGGAGAGTGACAGTGCCGACGAGCGGACGAGAAAAGCGAAGCCGGTGCCGGTGCAGCGGCCGAACGCGCGGACCAAGTCGGCGGACTCGTGCAGTGACGATGAGTTCAGTGCCAACGTGTGCAAGAAGCCGGAGGCGGCGAAGCCGAAACAGAGCCGCGGACGACCGCGGAAGGCGAAGCCGCCGCCACCCCCGGACAAGAAGCCCAGAAAGCGCGGCCGCCCCCCGAAGAACAGGCCGTCGCACCCGAGCTCCTCGGACGAGGAGGACAACGCCGAGAAGGAGAAGCAGCGGCCGGCGAGGCGGAGGACGGTCTCGAAGAGGGACGCGTCGAGCAGCGACGAGTCGGGCGCGAGCAGGAATCGCACGCCGAAGGAGAAGCCGAAGAAGAAGGCGAAGGAGGATGACGACTGGGGCAAGAAGGTCAAGAAGGAAGGGACGAAGAAGGAGACGTTCAGGAGGAAAGGTAAGACTTAAATATAGTTGACTTAGAAAAGTGACCAAACAGAAGTAACAAAAGCTAGAGCTATAAATGTCACGACACAAAGAGAAACACTAGCCCAAAATCGATACTAAAGAATTTCCTGTTGATTTATGCTCCTAACCTACTAAAAATATCCGTGTGACAGTCAAACATGATGAATTTGACACGATCGAAATGATGATTTATTGTCACGATATTAATTATAAACAGCTTGTTTATATTTAAAATCCGCCACCTGTTGAGTTATATTGGTGTCATAAAATTTCCTGTAATAAAGAGACACTTTGAACACGCTACAGGAACAGAAGTTTAAGAAAAAACAAAAACTGTTGTGTTTTTTTTAAATTCATATGGTAACTTTTTGCTTTTTAAATTGCCACTTACTGTTTTAGAAAATGAGGTGTGATACTGCCCGTTTTTGTGACGATTGTATGTATAATACGGCCTATTTGGTTCACATTTGCTAATGTGAGGTGTGATACTGCCTGATACGTACGACAATCTTCAATGTTTAATATGAACTCCGTCGATTGTGAAATGTGATACGGCCTGATGTACGAATTACGGGCGGTATCACACTTCGTGCTTCTAAATTCATTGCGGCCGTATTACACCACATTTTCGGAAATCGAAATGAATTTAGTTTTTTATTGTTTTCGGGAATTTTCGTGTTTATAATCAAAGTTTCGCTAGGTCGGACGACGATGTCCCAACACAAGAGCGCCGCAACGCTTCCCACAACGACCGATTCCAGCGACAGCGACTCGGGGCCATCCAAGGCCCGCCTACAACGAAGCCCCAGCTCCGAAAGTCGCCGGAGCAGGTCTTCAGACAGCGAGCACAACAGTAGGCCTTCCGGCAGCAAGGTGGAAGTAAAAGTGGAAGAAAGCAAGCCCATCAAAGACAAGAACAAGAGCGACACGTTACGAAAGCTCTTCACGCCGAAGCGCGATTCCGAGGGCGGGAAAGGCGGCGGCAAGGGCGGCGGTAAAGGCGGCAAGGGTGGCAAAGGCAAGGGCGGCGTGAACGTGATATTCGCCGACGGTGGCAACGAGAGGAGCAGTTCTCCAGTCGAAGAGGAATCAATGCCTACCATATCAAACCCAACGCTTCTATCACCCATCCCCAGCAAGGACATCAAACCGCCCCCGTCACCCTGTAACGAACCAATCAAATTTGTTAAGACTGAACCGGACGATGGCAATCACGAGGAGAAGATGGTGCCCGTGCGAGTGAAGATCAGCCTGAGCAACATCGACCTGAACGCGATCCAGTGCCTGAAGAACAAGCTAGAGATGCTGAAGCATCCGTACCTGAAGGAGCTGGAGGCGAAGGCGAAGGAGAAGAAGGCGGAGAAGGGACCGTCGGACGTGCCCGAATTGAAACACAAATCAAAAAAGCGGAAGCGGAGGAACAGCTCGAGTTCCATTTCGTCGATGTCGACGGTGAGCAACATGTCGCACACGAGCAAGAAAGTGGAGCACAGGAAGGAGAGGGACAGCCACAAGTCCAAGAGGCGAAAAGAAGACGCCGAAATCTACCCGAGATCTCAAAGTGATAATATCAGTTTAACGAATGCACCTCCCACCAACCACGAGCGGGAAGGCAGCCGAAGCCGCCAACTGAGCTCACCTGTCGACAAAAACGTCAAGTCGCAGAGTACCAGAGAGTATTATTCGTACTTCGAGAAGCCCGACGAGCCGCTGGAGTGCGAAGAAAGGTAAGGAGAAAAAAATTTCAAACGTCGGTTATATGTAGAGGTGCCAATGCCACCAGGAGCAAAACAAACAAAATTAATATATAGTACGTAATGATGTTAAAAAATCCGATTTAATATAGAGTAAATAGATCCGGACGCGATTCGACAGTGAGGGTTTGTTTTCGTAATTTATCTGTTATTCCGGTGGAATTTGGGTCAACGTCAGCCTCCGAGGAATATCTGATTCAATATTTTCCGGTGCGCGCTACCAGTTTTCAGCGGTCGTAAAAAACGTTTCAAAAAGATGACGGCTCATTCCGCTCTAAAACGATCTTTATCTTCCCCGCTTTTGTTTTCTTTCACTTTTCCATTAGTTATTGCGTATTTCATTTTAATACTCGTACGAGATGGCTTTTCGCAATGTTTCACAATCAAGCCAAATCGGTTCCTTATTTGCCCCCTTTTCAATCGATTCGTTCGGAACGTAAATTCTCGTCCGTACGCTTACGTAAACCTCGCAACGTAGATAACACTCCTCTTATCACCCGCTCTGCTCCTGTAAACAACAATTACGGAAAATAAGTTGCGTAATCGGATAACTCTCTGCGAACTTTGCGGAAGTCTTAAAGTGGCATTGTATGCGGGAGCGTTATTGACATGTTTTGTTTGTTTCAGGGCTCAAAGTCAGTACCTGAGCGACGCGACACGACTAAAACACCTGGCTGACAAAGAGACTGATACCACGAAGCAATGTATGCTGTACCTAGAGGCTGTACTTTTTTTCTTGTTAACGGGCAACGCCATGGAACTCACGAGGGTTACAGAAAACGCCTGTTTCACCATGTATAAAGACACGTTATCGTTAATAAGGTAATTGCGCGTTTATTAATGTAAATGTGATGACTCATCGCGACGTTTTAGGTACATCACCTCGAAATTCAGAAGTCAGCATAATGCGTCTTCGAAGCACAACAAGCTCGCTGTGTTAAGGTAATCAAATATCTCGAGAGAAATATGAACGAGACTGACGTTTTTTGTTTGTTTGTTTGTTTAGTTATCGGTGCCAAGCACTTTTGTACTATAAGTTGTTCAAGATGAAGAAACATGAAGCGAAAGACTACCAGAAGGTCCTGAGCGAATACTTCAACAATAAGGTAAGCGTGACGGAGACAGAGATATGAATGTGTATAATTGATATTCGTAAATTTTTAATTCGCAATTCAAAGGTTCCATCGATTTTCCAGAAGGATTAATATTTACCTCGATTAAAAATGCGTTAGTGGAAATTGGATTGTAGAGGTGGTGCAAAATTAATCCTGACGCTTGAATTCGCAACGGTTTGCCTTAATAATGGAAAATTTTAAAAACGCGGTGTAGTACGGCCTGTAATTGTTTTAAAAACGCAATGTAATACTGCCCGATTTGTCGGTAAGAGTTTGAGTGTAATACGGCCTATAAGGCAAACGTTAAGTGGATTGACATGAAACAGGCAGTATTACATTGCATGCTTCCAAGATTTTCAGGCCGTATTACACCACGTTTGATTTTTTTTATTGTAACAATTGTTTTACGTAGTCACGTGACGCGAAATTGACTTCAAAAACCTTCTGAATAAATGTATGCTAATAGTGTCAAGGAGTACGGCGTGATGTTTGACGCTTATTAAGTGGAATCGATTAAAAACGATCATTTTCGTCAGAAATGTGCAAATGAACAGATCTGATCACATGTGTTTGAGTCAAACAGACATGATTTCGTTGCGTGAACGGAACATTTACTTTAACAAATTATATTTAATTCAAACGTAAATTCTGATATGGAGAAGTTTGACTTTCAGAGTGTTATCGGAAAATTGATTTCTTTACAAACATTTCATCAATTCAAAAGATAATAAATTATTGGCATGTGTGCTTTATGCTTCTTCTACATTCTTGTAATTAAACCTATTAGCATTTTTAATCAAGACAAATATAAGTTCTTATGAAAAGTTAACCGTACAAATTGAAAAATTAGAAAGGTCGCTTTATAAAAATAAATGAGCTGTATTTATGAAGTTTCTTTTGATAGCGGGTTATTAAAACAGCAAAAAATTGCGCTTTTTATTCCAAGGTGAGTCGTGCCAACAATGTTCATAAAAAAAATTTACAAAAAATTTAACCTCACTTTTGTTTGCAGGCTGTGGCGATGCCCCCAGAGCAGCAGAATCAGCAGGGCCAAGGAACCCCGTCCCCCATGTCGCCCACGCCGTCTCCTGCTGGTTCGGTGGGTTCAGTGGGCAGTCAGTCGTCCGGCTACAGTAGCGGCGAGTTGGCGGCTCGAGGTAGTAACGTGGCGGCGGCGGTGCCGTCCACCCATACCCAAGGCATGGGCGGCCACGTCTGGGTTCCCCAGGGGATGTACAACGCCATGTACAAGCAGAACCAGAACTTCACATATCTTCTGTCTTGTCAGGACCTCTGGGACACGGCCGACAATCTAGTGATTAAGGGTAAACTCATAGGTGGGTTTTGGCATTTTTTTGGTGGAATGATTGTTTTAATGTTTGTTTTTGTTTTATAGATTTCTTTATCGACTTGGATAGGTTATGTAAGCCGTTGACGATGCACAGCTCGCTGATCGACTTAGTGAGGTATATTCGAGAGGGGATAAAGAGGTTGAACGAGAGTACGAATTGACCAATGACGTTTGTAAATAATATAAATGTATGCCAAAGAAGCACTGAGTCAATTTCAATGTCAATGGAACCAGCTTGTTACTTGGATGGAATATACACTTTTTACATTTTACCTACAGATTATATTAGAGTAGTTGACTTATTTAATCATTTACTTAGGGCATATTTGCCGGTTAGATTGGTTTAATGTTGACTAGAACAATTGAGTGATCCTATATATTATATGACTTTTGATGTCGTTTCTAGTTAACTGACTTAGGGTGCAGTACTATAATAATATTTTTACAATGATAGGAAATTCCACGTACATAGTGTATATTTTTTTGTAAATACTGTATGCTAAAGTTATATATTTACTACATCTGCTATATTTGTACAACGCTAATCTAGAGGCCTAGTGAATCAAACTATTACATCTCACGTGGTTGTGGATGTTGAATTAATAAATATTAGTCATTGTTATTTTTGCATATATATTGTAGGCTAAGTGTGCATATGTAACATGTATGTAAAAATCTTGTATCATATTTTATAAATTTTAAATTATTTTATTTGTATTATAAGTATTTTCATTAAGGCCATTTACAAAACAAAAATCAAATCGATATGTATAATTTTGTACCTATATTTGTTGTTGCATTATTTAAATACGCTGGCAGAAAATCTTAAAGTATATTAGTTTTCTTCCAGAGTGATTGACGTATTGAGCACTCATCACTAAGTAAAGTTTCACTATGATCGATCCCCGAACATTTACTCATACAGTTTTAATCAAAACTGAAGGTTGATCTCAAATGTTTAACTTGTTATTAACACTTTCATTAATTGTAGTGAAAATTTACTTAAATGTGCAGAACAAAGTTTGGTTACTACAAACTTGAAACTCTCTTTGCACATTGTTGGTTAATGTGGTGCTAGCGCAACCTTTCCTGCCCCCTTTACAAAATACAAATCCGACGATGGACAGAATAGTCACTACGACAGGAAAGGTTGTCTTATTATTTCCTCCTCTTTTTTTTTAATTATTATTATTATTATTTATCTCTTCTTACATTGTTTTGCCGCATTCATTATGGTCAGAAATGGTAAACAAGGCTGTTTGGGACCAAGGAAAAAATCTCTGAATGTGTATACGATTGGCATGTCGGAAACGTTTCACTTTGATATTAATTACGAAATCTCAGTTTTCGCCTGCATTCAGTTGATTTTCATTAATTGTTTTTAATTTGCGTTTGAGATGTTGCTGTTTTTATTGTAAACTGTTTTAACTCGTTATTTATTGGAGCCTGCATTTTTATCATGCTATCACAATCTGAACATATCGACTGACAGAATGATGTTTGTTTTTCTCTTTTTTTTTTGTTTGAAATATATTAATTTATTTTATATTTATTTTTGTTTTTTATTGTTTCGTGTAACCAAACTTGGTTTCTGTTACAGACGCAATAGAATAACTCATAGAACTCCAAAGTAAACTTAAAGTGACCTTGTCTAGATCATAAATAAAATGAATACATCAGTACCTTGTACATATTTATACATAAAATTTAACATCAGTTATACTTTTGAGGTGATGTGTAACAAAAGGACCCAACTTTTTTTTCAAATATATTATTACAGCATACTATTCTTGTCTTCGCTCACCCCGCTACCGCCCAAGGACAAACCTGTAAACTAGATTTAGTTTATAGTTTACAGCGTTTTAACACGACAATCAATTTTTAAAGCGGTTAAACCTCCTATTTTTCATTAAGCTGATGATTAGTTTTTTCGCTACCTGGAATCGATTTTTCCTACTTTCTACGACGTTTACTAGTGACGTCTCCATGTAAAACAAACTGCATAACATTTCAAAATGATGATTTCTAATCGGTTTTAATTATATATTAAATTACGCAATATTACGAAATCATAAAAAAGTTTGCGGAAATTCGAACCCGAGACCCCTTGCATTGAACGCGAATACTTTACCAACACAATAAAAGATTTAATATAGGGGAATAATGAAATACACAGCTTAAAGAGGAGCTTAAAACAATAAGAGAAGAATTAAAGCAAGAAAATCTAAAACTACTAGGAAGAACTAAGGAAGAAATGGGAAAGAGAGTTGGTGAAGTAGAAAAGTCAACTAGATCGAATGGAGAGAAAAAAGAGAAGTAACAAAGTAGGAACAAGAGAGCAGAAACAGTTAACTGAAAAGGTGACAAATTTTTTAGAAAAGAAAGCCAAAGTAGAGAATAAAGTTAAAAGCGCATAGAAAATTGCAGAGAAAGTTTATGTAGTAGAATTCGAAAACAGAGAAGAAAAAAATAAATGTAATGAAAAGCAAGAAGAACTTAAAAGGGTCGTTAATTCAAAACAAGATAAAAGAAGAGGCAACAAAAGAGAAATAAAGGAAAAATGGTTAGAATGGGATAAAAAAAGTTAACTGTAGACGGCAGAAATTTTGAATGGAATGAAGAAGAGGGCAGCCCCAAGAAGGCAGAAAATTTTTAGTAAAGTGCCAAAAGAAAAGGAGGAAAAATAGAAGGAAACAAAGCAAAGGAAACGGAATAAAGGATGCAGATAGGGAAATCGTGTGGTAGTGTCAAGGCGCGACAAAGGAAAAGAAAAAGGAGAGAGCAAGGGGGGGAATAGTAATGGGAATTCGAAAAAAATGCAAGAATTGGAAAAGGGAAGTAATCATAAAAACGGACTAATGAAGAAAGTAATACAAATGGATAACAATCGATGGGAAATAATAATCGTTCATAGCAAGAAAATGGAGGAAACCAAGATAAACATAGAAAAGGAAACAGACGAAAAAGGAGATGAAAAAATAGGGGATTGTAACGCATGATTAGGCGATAAGGGGATAAGAATAATAGATAGAGAAAAGGGAGAGAAAAGAGGATCAAAACACAAAGCAAACAACAAAGAAGGAAAAATATTGTGGGAGATAATAGAAGAAATGGGATGGTAAATTTTGAATGGAAACAAGGAAGAGGCGTGGGAAGAAATAGACTGTTTCAAAGTGGGAGAAAGGGTAGAATCAGACCACATGCCACTAGAAATAAAAATCAAAGGAAAAGAGCAAGAGTACGAAAAATAAGAGAGAAGAAACGAAAGAAAAGAAATAGAAAAAAGAATATGGGATAAAGAGGGAATTCAAACATACTGAAGTAGACTAGAAAAAAAGAAATTCGAAGTGAACGAAGATATAGAAGCTATGATAGTAGAACTGAGCAACCTAATTGTAGAAGCTACGGAAAAACGAAAGATATACATATGGCAAGGAAGGAATAATGGATGGAACGGAGAATGTAGTGAGTTGAAGAGAAAAGCAAGAGGAAAATTAGGAAAATGGAAGAATGACAAGGGAAGGAAAGAAGAGTAGCTAAAAGCAAGAGAGAATTATAGCAGAAAATAGGAAGAAAGAAAAAGAGAAAAACGAGAAGACAACAAAGTCTCTGAAAAGAGAAGACGAAGTATGGAAATATATAAACAAGGAAGACACTTTATAGAATGAATGAAAAGACTTAAAAGAGGAAAGGCACAAGGAGGGGATGGAATCCAGAACGAAGCGTGGATGTTCGGGACAGAAGGTATATTAATCCCATTATTTAAAAAGGGGCAAAAAAGTAAAAAGGCGGTTGGATTTGAAGAGAAGTTTAATGAGAGAGAAATATTGCAAGAATGTTGGAAAGAAATAAGAAAGGAAGGGGGAAAACATGTTTGGAGCGAAAGAGACAAGTATTATGAAGGAAAGGGATATGCATGTGAAGAAATAGAGAGAATGAGAGAAATGGGAATTAGTATGAAAGAAGAACTGAGTGTAAGAGATAAAGATCTAGATAAGCAAGAACGCAGATCGAGAATATCAGAGTCTAGATATAATGCAGAGTATAGAAAAATACTAAAGGATGAAGTACCAAAGTACACACAGTGAGAGTATAAAGGAGACAAGAATGATGGCGAGATTTAGGTGTGGAAATGAAGAGAAAGAGAATAATTTTTGGATGGATGAAACTGACAGAAGGTGTAGGATATGTTGGAGAGAGGGAGAAACAATAGAGCATATGCTGGAAGGATGTGAAAGATTGAGGGAATCGGAGGAAAGTAGGAAAGAAGTGCTGGAAGAGGACTGGACTGGATGGAAGAAGTACGGAAGATAAGAAACCATGGCAAGGGGTGGGCAAGCAGAAATAGAACAATTATTAATATTTTATATTAATATATTTGATTGTCTAATTTTCTTATTGATTAAAAAAATGAAATTAATTATATATATATAATAGGTCTCTAAATTTACTTTTTAAAGATAAACACGCACCTAATCAGGGATTGGAATAATTAACCAAAGTGACTGAATTAATCAAAAAAAGTAAATGGTTACAATTGCTCATTACTTGAAAATGAATTGAATTGATCATCAAGTGCTTAAAGTTAATAACGAATAAGACACATCGCTTTGGAACGCATTTTACACCATCTAAAAACATTAGTGAAAATCTATCACCGTGTGAGACAAGAATGTTCGCTGTAGTGTCTGCTCTTGATTTAAAGTGTTCAATCTGTGGTTTTTTCTTCGTATAATTGTGTTAAATTAGAGGAATTGTTTGGGTTTGGTGTTTCACGTTCGACACCCCCATCCTGGGGGGCGGTGAGTAACTCTTAACCTTGATTTTTGATCGTTTTATCGGGTTAAAATTTGCTACAATCTTATCAGTTGTTCTTTGGCGAGTTCTTGCGTTTTTTTTGTCTACTCACCGTTCACCTGCTAATAACATTACTCGTAATAATTTAATTTAATTAACAATATTCAGCTCACTGGTTTAAAACATTGATAGGGAATTAACTTTAACTTCGCTTTCTATAAATCGGGTCCTATTATTTCATTGAAATCCGTAACAAACCACTTCGCTTTCGCTTGAACTATCGGCCTGAAAACGTTCCCGCCATAACCTGCGCAAAAACAAATCCCGGATTTGCGTCAATGTTGGTTGTATAATCCCCAGGCGGACTTTAAGGGATTCTTGAAATGTCATAGACCCCGACATGGCTTTAGCTGTTCTTTGAAAAATAAACAACCATCAAATGATTTATAACATATATAAAACTTACAAAGTGGGGATTTCCTCGCCTTTGTTACAAAATTTGGCGAGTTCATCGATGCCTTCTTCTTGAATCACGGTGGAGTCGACGTCGAAACAGACGGCGTCGACTTGTTTTAGGATTTTTTGGACTTCTGCACTCATTTTGGGTTAGAAATAGCAACGAAGACACTGAGGGTTCTTGTTCGATTACTGTTGCTGTGTACGACTGTAGTACAGTGTGCCTACCCTAATACGATGAAGGTAAAAGCTATAAGCAATTTAATAGCTATTAACACACCAAGGATGTAAAGAGAGCAAATACACTGTTTTTCAAAGTACGTTTTTAACAAAAGTTTTATAATTTCGTCAAGACTCATTATAAGAATCTTATCTTTCTCTATCTCAATTAGTAGAGAAAAAATTATTCAGAATATTTATGGGTCAATTTTCCGGAGTCAACTTTGTCTTCACTTTTTAACTCACTAATATATTTTTCTAATTTTTCATGCCACATATTTTTGAAATGTCTTTTTTTATATCGTGTCCGTGCATCCATAAAGTAAATTACATTACAAGTAAATTTAAGATATAAATTATAACTGTGAGGGTTATGAATATACAGGATGATTTAAAAACGTTGGGCAAAATTCCTATAGCGTACTCCACAAGTACGTATATTTGGTTATCTTTTGTTTGTATATAGATAGAATCAAATTTAAGCACAAAATATCTCTATCTAGATAAAAAATAAATGCCACAGATACAGAAACATCTTTTTTATTTTACGTTTTTTTAGTACTTGGAAGTTTTAGTAGTCATTATTTAAATAAATTGTACCACTAAAAAAGTTATAGCTTGTCTAGCGAGTCCCCTTAAATTTAAATTTTCTCAAGATTATGAATCCATGCTTATTTTTACTGCCCTTCAACTTATTGTGGTTTATAAAAGAAACAGGATTCCAAATTTCAACATTTATAGGGATAACATAATAACGAATTTTTTTTGTTCTTGTATTCTTTTCCTGTCACATTTTTATATAGACAACCAGCAATACTTGACTTGGATGGGGTGAAGCACATTCTGTTGATTTCTCAGGTTTTTTAATGTAAAAAAAAAAAATCCTGTTTGAAGAAGTAATCTAAATGCCTCTGGATAATCGTGAACAACATATTCCAAATTCCCCTAGTTTGTTAAAGAAAACATCTTTTTCAACACCCAATAATCATTTATTATGTACAAAACAAAACCTAAACAACCTCAAACCTAACCTAACAATCACAATTCCCCTGCTGCTCCCCCTGCCCCGCCTTCTCCTCCCCCGTCGCCCTCTTCTTCCACTTCCCCCCGCCGTACGGCGCATGCCTCCTCTTCAGGTTGGACGTGCCGTCCTCCTCCACCTCGAACTCCATGTTGAGGTCGTCCCTAATGATCTTGAGCAGCGTCGTCCTCGGCAACCCCAGCAGCTTGGACCTCTCCCTCAGCGACAGGTCGGGCGCCTCCCTCAGCGAGGCGCGCACGTACGGCACGTGCATGAGCCTCGACAGCGGCCGCCCGCACTTCTCCCGGTCCTCCACGTTGCCAACGCTGAAGAGCTTGCGCTCCCAGCTCAGAAACGTCGTCCTGTTGGGGGGCGGCGCGTTGAACCGGGCCAGGAAGTTGGAGTTTATGTCCTTCCACGTCTGGTTGTTGTACTCCTTCTCGTGCACCCACACCGCCGCCACGATCTTCTGCTCGTGCGTGTAGCGGGAGGAATCCGACGTTTCGGACGTTTCAGCTTCATCGTCACTCATTTTAGGGACACGGCCACCGGGACGACATTATTTCAGAACAGCTGTAGATAGGACGGGGGGAGTTTATGGATTTTGCGTAGTGTGACGGCTGGCAAGGTCGATGTGGGGGCGGCGGAAATTGGGGGATTTAAAAATTGTGGGGGGTTTGGAGGTGTTGGGTGGGGTGTCAAGGGGGTCACTCGGTTGGGGATTTATTTTTTTTGAGGATTTTACTAGGGTTGAAGGGGTACAGGGTGCGACTTTACCGACGTAAGTGACAGTGCGCATGCGCGGTTACCAAGCGACCTGATGACGTCGAAGCGAAAGCTGCTTCGTTCTCTTTCGTTCGTCGACCGTCGTACGGGAAAGAAGTAAACGTAAGTAAAAACTGTTCCTTTTTAACCTATTTAATGTTATTATTAGTTTTTGTTGCTAAATAATTTAGTTTTCGCCTGCTTTTATCACAACGTTGTTATTTAGCAATACCGAGGAATTTACGTGGTTTTAATTCGTTTCTAACCAATGTTGCACGTGTTTTGTGGAAGCCATTTTGTTGCAGTTCCGTTTGTGTTCATAAAAATCAAATGCACCTAGTCTAGTGTAAACAAAATTAATATACTGAGTGTGCTAGAATTATTTTTGTGTTGTGCATGCATCACTTTTTTAGTTTAATTATTTTCTTTTATGCACCACGTGGTAACAACGTTGAAATTACGTAGTCTTCATTACGCCGTGCGGGCTATGACGTCATAGAGATTTTTTGAATTGGAATGACGCGTAAATACTTTTACGATCTAAACAGCTAAATATTTCCAGTCTTATGAAAGTCTTGTTTTCAGAATGGCGGACGCAGCTCCAGCCGGTGGGCGCGGTGGATTCCGTGGAGGATTTGGAGGTGCTCGTGGAGGTCGTGGTGGTCCACGTGGTCGTGGACGCGGCCGCGGTAGAGGCCGTGGTCGTGGAAAGGAAGACCAGAAGGAATGGATTCCTGTAACTAAACTAGGACGTCTTGTCCGTGACGGAAAAATCCGATCCCTTGAAGAGATCTACTTGTTCTCTCTACCAATCAAAGAATTTGAAATCATTGATTTCTTCATTGGACCCTCTTTGAAAGATGAGGTTAGAATCCGTGTAAACAAATTCGAATTTTGGGTTAATTTATGGTTCCATAGGTGTTGAAAATCATGCCCGTACAGAAACAAACACGTGCTGGTCAGCGTACCCGTTTCAAGGCTTTCGTCGCCATTGGTGATAGCAACGGCCATATTGGCTTGGGGGTGAAATGCAGCAAGGAAGTGGCCACAGCCATCAGAGGCGCCATCATTCTGGCCAAGCTATCTGTAGTTCCAGTGCGTAGGGGCTACTGGGGTAACAAAATTGGTAAACCCCATACGGTACCATGCAAGGTAAATCTCCACTTATTTATTGGTTTCAATATTTGATTTGTTAACATGATGAATAACTTTATTCTTTCGCGGTTTCCACCAGAGGGCTCTGCTCCATGATGGCCAGAATTTCTGACCCCCCCATCTTCATATAATGTACACCCCAGAAAAAACCGGTGTCTCACTTTGTGGATGTTTCAGGTCACCGGGAAGTGCGGCTCGGTCACCGTGCGGCTCATCCCGGCCCCACGTGGTACCGGAATCGTCTCAGCCCCCGTCCCCAAGAAACTTCTTCAGATGGCAGGTATTGAGGACTGCTACACTTCCGCTAGAGGTTCGACCGGAACTTTGGGCAATTTCGCCAAAGCCACTTACGCCGCTATTGCTAAGACGTACGCCTATTTGACTCCCGATTTGTGGAAGGAGATGCCTTTGACGAAGACGCCGTATCAAGAGTTTGCAGACTATCTCGCGAAGAGCCATCGCCCCGTTTCGGGACAGAGACCGGCAGAAGCTGGACTCTAAACCCAACATTTCCTTTTTTATTTTTTTGTTTGATTTTTTTTCTTTTGTTTGATAACTTGCTGTTAATATGTTCATGGGCAGAGGGTGCTGATGTACGCTGGTTGAATGCGGGACACATTTCAACGAACTTACCTCACTGTGTCTGTCTATGAACCTGTTGAAGCACGAAAAATAATAAAGATGTAAAAAATAAGTACCACAATAAACAGTTTATAGAGAGTTTTTTGTTTTATTGAGTTGGTAAAATTTATTAGGTAGTGAAGAAATGGGTACATTATGCAGTTTAGAAACTACTTCTGTCGTAATCCGACCATTTCTTCGCTGATTTCCCACAATTTTTTTCTCTTCTCTTCATCCTTAGCCCCACAGTACGGTTTAACTCTTTTGCAATCTTCAAAATGCTCTCCATTGTGCTCGTCAATTCCGTCCTCCAGTGCCAAATATATGGTAGTCTGGGCACCTTCTTCAGGCGTCTGAAAATTCAAACAATGTAACTCTAACCTTCCATCTTGTACCGTCCATACCTTGAACACCTTTGAAGCTACCCAGCTCCCGATGGTCGAACCCCTCAGAAACTCCGTGTTGACGGCCCCCGGGTGCAACGAATAGGTGGTAACATTAGTCCCTTCCAACCTCTTCGCGAGCTCTTGAGTGAAGTAAATCTGACAAAGTTTCGTCCTGCAATACAACATCCATCCCCCGTATTTATTAAGTTCTTCCACATTTAAGTTGTGGATCATCTTCGCAGCGGCGGAGGAAACATTGACGATTCTACTGGGTGCGGACTTCTTTAGGAGATCTTTAACAAGAAAAGAGTTAGTACTGATGTGGTTCAGTGAGAGAAACGTACCCAAAAGTAGGATGGTTAGAAGAAACGGGGCGAAATAATTACAGGCCATTTCTAACTGGAGGCCGTCTTCAGTGGTTTTGTCCGGGAGTTGAGCTGCTCCGGCGTTGTTGATGAGTAAGTCCAAGCGGTCTTCGGTTTCGTTGATGTCTTTGGCGAAGGCTCGCACCGACGCGAGGGAGTCTAGGTTGAGTGATTTGACGACGACGTTTTCGTTGCCGGTTGCTTGCACGATTTTTTCTCTGGCCGCGTTTGCTTTTTCCTGGTTGCGGCATGCCATTATTACGCGGCAGCCGCGTTTTGCGAATTCTAACGCCGTTTCATAGCCGATGCCTATACAAAATAACGTATTTTTATTTTTCGTAATCGTGATAAGCGCTTTTAGAAGATAACGTCATTTTTTTTAATGGTTATTCATTCTTATTGCACTTGCACTTACCTGTGTTGGCGCCGGTGATAATTGCAGTTTTCCCAATCAAAGACTTCTTGCTTTTACAGTAGTTCACCATCTTATTTTTAATTATGCTACCGGACGGAGTGTTTGTATTTCGCGTAATAATCGATGAATGTACCCACGTAATTTCGGGTCTGCGAGCGCGATGGCGTGGTTTTAGCGTTTTCTGGCAAGGTCGCCATAGATTAGAACCTGTTTTTTTTGCAACTCATTTTGATGAGTACCTGTGTGTAGATATGAAAAACAAAATAAGGATGAGTAATGTTCTAGAGATTTCTTTAATAAGCAGCTATTAAACCAACAAATCGGTGATGTTTTTATTACTTAAATGCAGTCCACCTTGTGCTTGTAGAAGTACGTTCGAATTTTTTTTTCAATTTTGCTTTAAAAATCTTGAGGGCTCCAAGTATTTTTTTTCTGAATGTTTCATGACCCCAAGGGTACGAAAAAATTGGTCTCCCGTTTCCATCTTTTCGGATTTTTGTTAGATTGATAAGTCGTCGAAACTACCCGACCGAGCATGGTAAATCGTTGATCAAAATTTATCCGTTCATATCCTAGACATCGAGATTTTTGGAAAAAAAAGTGTGGATATGTAAATATATGTGTAACAAATTTTTCGATATTTCAGTTTAGGGATTTTTCACATTTTTTATTCTTCAGTTTTTAGATTTTTAATTTTTCAGTGTTGAGATTTTTCGGTTTTAAAATGTTTTAATTTTTGAAGTTTCAAATTTTCGATTTCTCTATTTCTCGATCTTTGATGCTTTAGGTTTTAAATTTTTCGATTTTTTGATATTTCGATTTCTCGATTTTCAATTTTGCGATTTTTGAAATTTCCGATATTCAATGTTTTTATTTTTCAATTTTTAGCATTTTTAAATTCTTGATTTATATTTTTCATATCTTTAAATTTTACATTTTTCGATTTTTAAATTTGACATCTCGGTTTGTTCATTCTTCAAATTTTCGATTTCTCAATTTCTCCATTAATTTTTCAATTTTAATTCTTTTTTTATTTTTCGATTTCTCGATTTTTCAGTTCTTCGATATTTCTGTTTATCAATTTTTAGAATTTTTAAATATTAGATTTTTCAGTTTTTGTCATGTTTCGAATTCTCGATTTCCGATTATTCGACGTCTCGGTTTAGATTTTTTAGTTTTTTGATATGCTAGCTTTGGGATTCCTCAATATTTCGATTTTTGCAATTTTTTGATTTCTTGGTTTTTCGGCTTTTCAATTTTTCTGTTTCTCTATTTCCCGATCTTTGATGTTTTAGTTTTTGAATTTTTCGATTTTTCAATTTCTCGGTTTTTCGATGTTCCGATTTTCTCCATTTTCAATATTTGCGATTCTTCAGTTTTTCGATATTTTAATATTTAAATTTTTCATTTATTCGTTTTTCTATTCTTGATTTTTCAAATTTTACGATTTCGGATTTTTCAATTTGTCAATTTCTCTGGATGTTTCGATTACTTCACATCTCGGTTTTTCAATTATTCTTCAAATTTTCGATCTTTGATTTATAAATTTTTAGTTATTCTTTTCTCGATTCCTTGATTTTTCAATGTTTCGATTTTTCAAGTCTTTGTTTTTTTAAATTGTGGAGTCGGTTTACCGATTTTTCAATTTTTAAATTTTTGACGTCTCTAAATTTTCGATTTCTCAATTTACCGATTCGATTTTCGCCTATTTTTTGATGTTTCCACTTTTCAATTTCTCGGTTTGTCAGCTTTTCATTTTTGAGATTTTACAATTTTCGATTTTTCAGTTTTTCGATTCTTTAAATTTTACGTTATTCGGTTTTTTAATGTACCGATTTTTGGATGTTTTGGTTTCTTGACAATTTCTTTTTTGAAATTTTTCAACCTTCACATTCGATTTCTCAATGTTTCGATATTTCAGTTTAGTGCTTTTTCACATTTTTTATTCAATTTTTCGATTTAATTTTTTTTTTTATTTTTGAGGTTTCAAATTTTCGATTTCTCAATTTCTCTGTTTCTCGATTTTAAATTTTTGCGATTTTTCAAATTTTAGATATTTCACTTATTCAATGTTTTTGTTTTTCAATTTTTAGCATTTTAAAATTTCTTGATATCTCGGTTTTTTGATTTTGTAAATTTTTAGATATGATTTTTCAAGTTTTCGGTTTTTCAGTTTTTTGATTCTTCAAATTTTCGATTTGTTGGTTTTGACATTCCGAAAGTTTCGATTTCTCAATTTCTCCATGAAGAGATTTTTGATTTTTCTATATTTTGATTTAGTTTTTCAATTTAATTTTTTTTTTATTTTTCGATTATGCGATTTTTCAGTTCTTCCATATGTCTATTGATCAATTTTTCGAATTTTCAATTTTTGTCATGTTTCGATTTCTCGATCTTCCGATTATTCGACGTCTCGGTTTTAGATTTTTTAGTTTTTTGATATCTTAGTTTTGGGATTTTTCAATATTTCGATTTTTGCAATTTTTTGTTTCGATTTCTTGGTTTTTCAATTTCTCTATTTTCAAGTTTTCGATTTTTCAATTTTTGATCTTTCGATTTCTTGACATTTAATTTTTTTTAATATTTCGAGTTTTCGATTATAAGATTCCTTGATTTTTCATGTTTTTGATGTCTTCATTTTTCCAATTTCTCTATTTCTCTATTTCTCGATCTTTGATGTTCCGATTTTCTCCATTTTCGATTTTTGCGATTCTTCAATTTTTCGATATTTTAATATTTAAATCTTTTAATTTTAGTTTTTTCGATTTTTCACTTATTCTTTTATCTATTTTACAATTTTTTGAATTTTTATATTCTTGGTTTTTCAATTTTTTGATTCTTCAAATTTTACGTTTTTGGATTTTTCAATTTGTCAATTTTTGGATATTTCGATTACTTCACATCTCGATACTTCGATTTTATGAATTTTTTTCAAGCTTTCAATTTTTCAATTACATATATTCTTCAAATTTTCGATGTTTCCACTTTTCAGTTTCTCGGTTTGTCAACTTTTCATTTTTCGGATTTTTCAGTTTTTCGTTTTCTTGATTTTCAATTTTTGATTTTTCAATTTTTCGATTGTTTAAATTTTACGTTATTCGGTTTTTCAATCTACCGATTTTTGGATGTTTTGGTTTCTTGACAATTTGTTTTTTGAAATTTTTCAACCTTGGCATTCGATTTCTCAATGTTTCGATATTTCAGTTTAGGGATTTTTCACATTTTTTATTCTTCAATTTTTCGATTTCTCGATTTTTCAAATTTCCGATATTTCACTTATTCAATGTTTTTATTTTTCAATTTTTAACATTTTTAAATTCTTGATTTATAAATTTTTCGAATGTTTAAATTTTTAGATTTCATGATTTTTCAAGTTTTTAGTTTCTCAGTTTTTTGATTCTTCAAATTTTCGATTTGTTGATTTTGACGTTCCGAAATTTTCGATTTCTCAATTTCTCCATTAATAAATTTTTGATTTTTCAATTTTTCGATATTTTGATTTAATTTTTCAATTCTTAAATTTTTTTATTTTTCGATTTCTCGATTTTTCGACTTTTTAAATTTTAGGTTTTTCAATTTTTGATCTTTCGATTTCTTGACATTTCATTTTTTTTAATATTTCGATTTTTCGACTATAAGATTTCTTGATTTTTCACGTTTTCGATGTCTTAATTTTTCTAATTTTCAGTTTTAGGACTTTTCAGGTTTTTTATTCTTCAATTTTTAGATTTTCAATTTCTCTGTTTCTCGATCTTTGATGTTTTAGTTTTTGAATTTTTCGATTTTTCAATTTCTGGGTTTTTCGATGTACCTATTTTTTCCGTTTTCAATTTTTGCGATTCTTCAATTTTTCGAATTTTTATATTCTTGATTTTTAAAATTTTACGTTTTCGGATTTTTCAATTTGTCAATTTTTGAATGTTTCGATTACTTCATATCTCGGTTTTTCGATTTTTAAAATTTTTCGACTTTTCGATTTTGATTTCATTGTTTTTCAAGTTTTCAATTTTTCAATTATTCTTCAAATTTTCGATCTTTTGATTTTTCAATGTTTCGAATTTTCAAGTCTTTGTTTATTTAAATTGTGGAGTCGGTTTACCGATTTTCAATTTTTAAATTTTTGACGTTTCTAAATTTTCGATTTCTCAGTTTACCGATTCGATTTTTGCCTATTTTTCGATGTTTCCATTTTTCAATTTCTCGGTTTGTCAACTTTTCATTTTTCGGGTTTTTCAATTTTTCGTTTTCTTGATTTTAAATTTTTGACTTTTCAGTTTTTCGATGTTTTGGTTTCTTGACAATTCGTTTTTTGAAATTTTTCAACCGTCACATTCGATTTCTCTATTTTTCTATATTTCAATTAAGGGATTTTTCATATTTTTTATTCTTCGATTTCTCGATTTTCCCACTTTTGGTCTTCGATTTCTCGATTTGCCGATATTTCACTTTCGAGATTTTTTAATATTTAACTTCTTCGCTTTTCTCTTTTTAAATTTTAGTAAATTAAATGTTTCGATTTTTTGTATTTTCTAATTTGGCAATTCTTGAAGTTCAAATTTTTTCGATTGTTCAGATTTTTGATGTTTCAATTCCTCGATCTATCGATTTTACAATTATTCGATTTTTTTACGTTTAAAATTTTTCAATTTTTGGCTGTTCGATTTTGGCCTACTTATAATATTTCTTAGTTTTCCGACTTCTCGATCTTTTGATGTTTCAGTTTTTGATTTTTTCGATTTCTCAAGTTTTCATCATTTGAGTTTAGGAATATTTCAGTTTCTTGGTTTGTTCATTTTTCAATTTGCCGATCAAATTTTCGATTTTTCAGTTCTTTATTTCCATTTTTAATTTTTCGATTTGCCAATTTTACATCAGTTGAGTTTTGAAAATGTTCAATTTCTCCGTTTGTCGACTTTTCAAATTTTAGATCATTTAATTTTTCGATTTTTTGACGTTTGGATTTCTCGTTTTTCAATTTTTTTCAATTTTCACTTCTTCGATATTTCTATTTATCAGTGTTTGGCATTTTTTTTTAAATTTTTAAGTTTTAGATTTTTAATTTTTCTATCTTTTGATGTTTCAGTATTTGAATTTTTTGATGTTTCGATTTCTCGACTTTTCGATTTTTTGACTTTTCAATTTCCCCATTTTTAGTTTCGATTTCTCAGTTTTTCGGTATTTTAGTGTTGGAAGTTTTAAATCTTTCAATTCCTGAGATTTTCGATTTTTAAATTTTTGAGGTTTCAAATTTTCGATTTCTCGCTTTGTCAGTTTTTCTATTTTTCGATGTTTCGATTCTTCAATTTTTCGACGTCTCAGTTTCAGAGTTTTCGATATTTTAGTTTTTAGGTTTTTGATTTTGGCCTATTTCGATTTTTCCATTTTTCGACTTCTCAATCTTTTGATGTTTCAATTTCTTTGTTTAGCTATTTCCCTATTTTTCCATGTTTCCATTTCTCAATTTTTCGATTTTCCAAGTTTTCATCACTTAAATTATGAAATTTTTCAATTTCTCAATACCATAATAAACAGTTTATAGTGAGGTTTTTGTTTTATTGGGTTGGTAAAATTTTTTAGGTAAGAAATGGGTGCATTACGCAAGTGAGTAGAACTTTCTATACAGTGCTTTCCTATTCATCCTCGTGTGGAGGCTAGTTTTACAAAAATATAAATTTTTTGATTAAAAACTATTTCTGTCGTAGTCCGACCATTTCTTCGCTGATTTCCCACAATTTCTTCCTCTTCTCATCGTCCTTAGCCCCACAGTAAGGTTTAACCCTTTTGCAGTCTTCAAAATGCTCTCCATTGTGCTCCTCAATTCCGTCCTCCAGTGCCAAATATATGCTAGTCTGGGCACCTTCTTCAGACGTCTGAAAATTCAAACAATGAACCTCGAAACCCTTCATTTTGTACCCTCCATACCTTGAACACCTTCGAACCTACCCAGCTCCCGATGGCCGAACCCTTATAAAACTCCGAATTGATGGCCCCCGGGTGCAACGAATACGTGGTAACATTAGTCCCTTCCAGCCTCTTCGCGAGCTCTTGAGTGAAGTAAATCTGACAAAGTTTCGTCCTGCAATACAACATCCAACCCCCGTATTTATTAAGTTCTTCGAGATTTAAGTTGTGGATCATCTTCGCAGCGGCGGAGGAAACATTGACGATTCTGCTAGGTGCGGACTTCTTTAACAGATCTTTAAGAAGAAAAGAGTTAGTATTGTTGGTGGTTCAGTGAGAGAAACGTACCCAAAAGTAGGATTGTTAGAAGAAACGGGGCGAAATAATTACAGGCCATTTCTAACTGGAGGCCGTCTTCAGTGGTTTTGTCCGGGAGTTGAGCTGCTCCGGCGTTGTTGATGAGTAAGTCCAAGCGGTCTTCGGTTTCGTTGATGTATTTGGCGAAGTCTCGCACGGACGCGAGGGAGTCTAAGTTGATTGATTTGACGACGATGTTTTCGTTGCCGGTTGCTTGCACGATTTTTTCTCTGGCCGCGTTTGCTTTTTCCTGGTTGCGGCACGCCATTATTACGCGGCAGCCGCGTTTTGCGAATTCTAAGGCCGTTTCATAACCGATGCCTATACAAAATAACGTACTTTTACAATATAACGTATTTTTTTTAATAGTTCATTTATTATTATTGCACTTGCACTTACCTGTGTTCGCGCCCGTGATAATTGCAGTCTTGCCAACCAAAGACTTCTTGCTTTTACAGTAGTTCACCATTTTTATTTTTAATTATGCTACCGGACGCAGTGTTTGTATTTCAGGTAATAATCGATGAATGCACCTACGTAATTTCGAGCCTGCGAACGCGATGGCGTAGTTATAGCTTTTACTGACAAGGTCGGCATAGATTAGAACCTGTTTTTTTTTTTTGCAACTCATTTTGATGAGTACCTGCGTGTAGATAAAAAAAACACAACTTGGAACGTTGGTGTTGTGGATGAGTAATGTTCTAGAGGTTTCTTTAATGAGCAGCTATTAAATAACCAACAAATCAACACATGATGGTGATGTTTTTATTACTTTAATGCAGTCTACCTTGTCCTTGTAGAAGTACGTTCGAATAATTTTTCTTCTCGTAAAGACGAAATTGACAACATTTTGACTTAAAAACCTTGAAGGCTGCAAGTATTTTTTTCTCGATGTTTCGTGACACCAAGAGTACGAAAAAATAGGTCTCCCGTTTTCGTCTGATCGCATTTTTATTAGATTGATAATGTTCGAAACTATCCGACCGTGCATGGTAAATCGTTAATCAAAATTTATCCGTTCATATCCTAGAAATCTAAATTTTTGTGAAAAAAATGTGGATGTGTATATGTGTGATCATTTTCCGATTTCTCAATTTTTATAATTTTCGATTTCCCAATTTTTCGATATTTCAAATTAGGGATTTTTCAGATTTTTTATTCTCCAATTTTTAGATTTTCAATTGTGCAGTGTTAAGATTTTTCGATTTCTCAAATTTCCGATATTTTAATATATATTTCAATTATTTAAATTTTGGATTTTTTGATTTTTCACTTATTCAGTGTTTCTATTTTTCAATTTTTAGAATTTTTAAATTCCTGATTTATCAATTTTTCGATTCTTTAAATTTTACAAATTTAGATTTTTCAATTTCTTGACATCTTGGTTTTTCGATTTTTCAGTTTTTTGATTCTTTAAATTTTCGATTTCGATTTCAGGACTTTTCAATTTTTTAATGCTTCCATTTTTGATTTTTTCGATATTTCAGTTTATTGATGTTTGACGTTTCGAAATTTTCGATTTCTCAATTTCTCCATTAATAGATTTTTGATTTTTCAGTTTTTCGATATTTTGATGTTTCGATTTTATTTTCAATTTTTTTTTATTCTTCGATATTTCTTTTATCAATTTTTATCGCGTTTCGATTTCTCGATCTTCCGATTATTCGATGTCTCGGTTTTAGATTTTTTAGTTTCTTGATATCTTAGTTTTGGAATTTTTCAATATTTCGATTTTTCAATTTCTCGGATTCTTGATTTTCAATTTTTGCGATTCTTCAATTTTTCGATTTTTCAATTTTTGATCCGTCAAATTTTACGTTTCTCGATTTTTCAATTTGTCGATTTTCGGATGTTTCGATTACTTCACATCTCGGTTTTTCGACATTTCGAGTTACCCTTTTCTCGATTTCTCGATCTTCCGATTATTCGATGTCTCGGTTTTAGATTTTTTAGTTTCTTGATATCTTAGTTTTGGAATTTTTCAATATTTCGATTTTTCAATTTCTCGGATTCTTGATTTTCAATTTTTGCGATTCTTCAATTTTTCAATTTTCCGATTTTTTAATTTTAGATTTTTGAATTATTCTATTTTTTGATGTTTGGATTTATCGGTTTGCGGCTTTTCGATTTCTTAAGGTTTTGAATTCTCGATTCTTCAATTTTTGATTTTTCAATTTTTCGAAATTTTTAATTTTAGACTTTTCAATTTTTTTCGTGTTTCGATTTCTCAATCTATCGATTATTCGACGTCTCGTTTTTAGATTTTTGTTATCTTAGTTTTGGGATTTTTCAATATTTCAGTTCTTCAATTTTAGATTTTTGTTTTTGCAATTTTTAATTTTTCTATCTTTTGATGTTTCTGATGTTTCGATTTCTCGGTTTTTGGATTTCTCGACATTTCGTTTTTTTTCGATTTTTTGACTTTTCAATTTCCCCATTTTTTACTTTCGCTTTTTCGATATTTTAGTGTTGGGAGTTATTAATTTTTCCATTCTTCAGATTTTCGATTTTTAAATTTTTCATTTTTCAGGTTTCAAATTTTCCGTTTCTCGCTTTGTCAGCTTTTCTATTTTTCGATTTCTGGATTTTCAATTTTTTTGATGTTTCGGTTTCATAACATTTCGTTTTTTTAAATTTTTCGACTTTCCGATTTTCCCATTTTTCGATTTCACAATTTTTTAATTCTTCTTCCATTTTTCAATTTTTCGATATTTCAGTTTTGGGATTTTCAGTATTTTATTTCTTCACTTTTTCGATTTTTTGATATTTTAATTAAGCAGTTTTTAAAATTTTAAATTTTTCGATTTTTTAGTTCTTGGATGTTTCTATTTTCAATTTTTAAGTTTTCAGGTTTTTGATGTTTCGATTTTAATTTTTTTTAGTTTTAAATCTTTCAATTTTTTTGGTTTTCGATTTCTCCGTGTTTCGACTTCTCGATCTTTTGAAGTTTCGGTTTCTTAACATTTCGTTCTTTTAAATTTTTCAACTTTCTGAATTTTGGATTTCTTGATTTTTTAAGTTTTCGATTTCTCAGTTTTTCAACATTTCAGTTTTGGGATTTTCATTTTTTCACTTTTCGATTTTAAAATTTTAAACGTCTCGATTTCTAAGTTTCTCGACTTCTTGATCTTTTCATGTTTCAGTTTTTGAATTTTTCGATGTTTCGATTTCTCTGTTTAACGATTTTGCCATTTTCGATGTTTTGTTCGCATTTTTCAATTTTTCGATTTCCCAAGTTTTCATTTGAGTTTTGGAATTTTTCAATTTCTCGGTTCGTGTGATATTTCTATTTATCAATTTTTCGAATTTTTAAATTTTAGATTTTTCAGTTTTTTCCATACTTCGATTTCTCGATAATTCGACGACTCGGTTTTAGATTTTTCGATATTTTAATTTTTCATTCTGTCGATTTATTGTGTCGGTTTCTTGACATCTCGTTTTTTTAAATTTTTCGATTTTCCGATTTTTAACTTTTTTGAATTTTCAAGTTTTCGAATTCTCAATTTTTCAACATTTCAATTTTGGGAATAGTTCAATACTTAAAATTTTCTCGATTTTCCCATTTTTCGATTTTTCAGTTTTTGAATATTTCAATTTTCCAATTTTTTGATTTTTCAGGTTTTTGATCTTTGGATTTCTCGATCTATCGATTTTACAATTTTTGATGTTTCAATTTCTCTTTAACGATTTTCCTATTTTTCGCTGTTTCCATATTTTAATTTTTCGATTTCCCAAGTTTTCATCATTTGAATTTTGGAGTTTTTCAATTTCTCGGGTTGTCGACTTTTCAATTTTTCGATTTCTGCACGTTTCGATTTCTCGATTTTCCAAATCTGTCGATTTTTTGACATTTCGTTCTTTTAAATTTTTCAAATTTCCGATTTTCAGATTTTTTGATTTTTTAAGTTTCCGATTTCTCAATGTTTCAACATTTCAATTTTTCGATTCTTCAGTTTTTCAATTTTTGATTTCTCATTTTTTCTGTTTCTCGATCGTTGATGTTTTAGCTTTTGAATTTTTAAATATTAAGTTTCTCGGTTTTTCCATTTTTCAATTTTTTGATGTTTCGATTTCTCAATTTTCAATTTTTGCGATTCTTCAAATTTCCGATATTTTAATATTTATTTTTTTAATTTTGGATTTTTCGATTTTTCACTTATTCGATTTATTTTTCAATTTCTAGAATTTTTAAATTCCTGACTGATCAATTTTTCAATTATTTAAATTTTACGTTTTTTGATTTTTCAATTTTTAAATTATTCGAATTACTAATTTCTCGATTTCTTGACTTCTTAAATGTTTCCATTTTTCAATTTTTCGATTTCTCAGGTCTTTGTTTTTTTGAATTTTCGATTTTGGTTTCCCGACTTTTCAGTTTTTCAATTTTGGCATTTTTTAGTTTTTTTAATCTTCAATTTTTCAATATTTCAGCGTTAGTATTTTTCCATCTATCGGTTCTTCAGTTTTTCAATTTTTCGATTTCTCAATTTACCGATTTTTCGATTTTTTAAAATAAAATTTTTGAATTTTTTGCTTCTAAAATTTTTTGATTTTTAAATTTTTTTCATGCTTCGATTTCTCGATCTCTCGATAATTCGACGTTTTGGTTTTAGATTTTTCATTTACTGTTTTCGATGTGTCAATGTGTCGATTTACTGATGTTTCGGTTTCTTTACATTTCGTTTTTTTAAAATTTTCGATTTTCCGATTTTTAGCTTTCTTTATTTTTCAAGTTTTCGATTACTCAATTTTTCAACATTTCAATTTTGGGAATATTTCAATTTTTCGATTCTTCAAATTTTCTCGATTTTCCCATTTTTCGACTTCGATTTCTCAATTTTTCAATTCTTCTGCCATTTTTCAATTTCTCGATATGCAAGTTTTGGGATTGTTCAATATTTTAATTTATCATTTTTTTTTATTTTTCAGGTTTTTGATCTTTGGATTTCTCAATCTATCGATTTTTCGATTTCTCAGTTGTTCGACTTCGCGATCTTTTGATGTTTCAGTTTTTGACTTTTTCGATTTCTCTAAAAATTTTTCACTGTTTTCATATTTCAATTTTTCGATTTCCCAAGTTTTCATCATTTGAGTTTTGGAGTTTTTCAATTTCTGGGTTTGTCGACTTTTCAGTTTTCCAACATTTCAATTTTTCGATTCTTCAAATTTTCGGTTTCTTGATTTGAACATTTTTCGATATTTCAGTTTTGGGATTTTCATTTTGTCACTTTTCGATCTTTTCAATTTTTAAATTTTAAATGTCTCGATTTCTCGATCTATCGATTTTACAATTTGTTTTTAGAACAAATTTACAACTTTTCGATCTTTTGATGTTTCAGTTCTTGAATTTTTCGATTTAAGTTTTGGATTTTAAAACTTTTCGATTTCTTGCTTTTCAATTTTTCGATATTTTAATTTTTCAATTTTTTAAATTCTAGATTTAGATGCAATAGTGTAGGTACACATAATGGCAAATTATTTAATTTAGTTTATTAATTTTTTAGGTTAAATAAAATCCCGCTTTTCTCGTTTTAACACAAAACTAGAAGTACAAAAAACAAGTTAGAACTATTTCTGTCGTAGTCCAACCATTTCTTCGCTGATTTCCCACAATTTCTTCCTCTTCTCTTCATCCCTAGCTCCACAGTACGGTTTAACTCTTTTGCAATCTTCAAAATGCTCTCCATTGTGCTCCTCAATTCCGTCCTCCAATGCCAAATATATGCTAGTCTGGGCACCTTCTTCAGCCGTCTGAAATTTCAAAGAATGAAACTTTTCTTAACTATCCATCTTGTACCCTTCACACCTTGAACATCTTCGACGCTACCCAGCTCCCGAGAGTCGAAGACCTCAAAAACTCCGTGTTGACGGCCCCCGGGTGCAACGAATACGTGGTAACCTCGGTCCCTTCCAGCCTCCTCGCAAGCTCTTGCGTGAAATAAATCTGACAAAGTTTCGTCCTGCAATACAACATCCATCCGGCGTACTTATTCAATTCTTCTAGGTTTAGGTTGCGGATGAACAACGCAGCGGTGGAAGAAACATTGATGATTCTACTAGGCGCGGACTTCTTTAGAAGATCTTCAACAAAAAATTAGAACTGTCTTTGATCGTTTGAACAACACAGAAACGTACCCAAAAGGAGGACAGTTAGAAGAAACGGCGAGAAATAATTACAGGCCATTTCCAACTGGAGGCCATCTTCTGTGGTTTGGTCTGGGAGATAGGCGGCTCCGGCGTTATTGACCAGCAAGTCCAGGCGGTCTTCGTTCTCGTTGATGTCTTTGGCGAAGGCTCTCACGGATGAGAGAGTGTCTAAATTGATTGATTTGACGACGACGTTTTCGTTTCCGGTTGCTTGCACGATTTTTTCTCTGGCCGCGTGCGCTTTTTCCTGGTTGCGGCAAGCCATGATCACGCGGCAGCCGCGTTTTGCGAATTCTAAGGCCGTTTCATAACCTATCCCTACACAAATACAATATGTAACTTCTATTTTAAACACATAAATACCACTAAATTGACACAGTCCACTTAGGTGGTAATCTAATCATTTTTTTTTAATTGGTTATTCAAAAAATGCACATGTAGGTACTCACCTGTGTTGGCGCCGGTGACAATGGCAGTCTTGCCAAGCAAACATTTCTTGCTTTTACAGAAGTTCACCATTTTATTGTCTGTGTTTTGGTAATCAACGAGTCGCTATCTGATTAAAACTTGTATAATTTTGCAACTCACTGCGATGAGTACTTGTAGATAAGTAAAATGAAGCAAAAAAACGGCAAATTGGTGTTAGGGGCGAGCAATCGGTGTTTAATGTGTATAAATAAGACTCATTTTTTATTTAAAAAATTTTTATTTTTACCACTTCGCCCTTTTGCCCCAGTCTTTAGGCGTCCAGTGCAGACATTTGGGATCTATCCTAACCAGTCGAGATTCCATCGCTTTCTTATGACTTTGCATAATTTCTTGATTTAACGTGATTATATACTGTCCTTTATAATAATTGATCAAATTTAAATTCTGCAACGTTGAAATGACGTCTTCTTTTTTAATACTCGTTAATTCACAGATTTCGCTAAAAGAACAAGCCAATATTACAACACTTTTTTTGCAAAAGAGCAGGGTCGGATTGAAGATGTGGGGTTCCATCGGGAAAGCTAGTAAAAAAATCGTGGAACGTTATTTTAAATATGAAATATAGACATTTTCAATGTTTCAGTATTTGCTTAACTTCGACTGTTTATGTTTATACTTCGACCGAATCGACTTTTATTTAACACGTTCAGATTACAAGAATCAGCGGTTAAAAGAAAATGAAATTTGGTTGGTTTTGTGTCCTCTTTTTCACAGCAATCAGTTTTTGCAATTTCAAAGTTAAATTGTAAGATACAATGTTGATTTTTTTCCCACAAATCTGGATGCTAAGGGTAAAAAGTCAACACAGATTTATAAATAACAAATGCAGGACTATGTTATTTAATCAAAATTTAAAGAACATTTTTGTTCCGTAGAATTCTAAGATGACGTAATAATTTTTTGGGAAGGCCTTAAACGAACAAATTTTCATTAACGATTTATCATATTTCCTGTAACTTTAAAACGTTTGGAATATTTCAGTACATTCGCTTTTACCATTTTGAAGTTAAATTATAAAATACAAATTTGAATTTTTTCCCAAAAATTTCGATGTCTAGGGGAAAAACTCAGTACGAATTCTAAATTATACATACAATACATAGTTACATGGAGTATCCAATTCTATAAAATTGAAGGAACATTAGTTCTGCAAAATTATAAAATGACGTCATTTTTTAGGAGGCCATAAACGAAAACATTTTTATTAACGATTTTGGCAAATGACAAACCCTCTAAGAAAAGAGAGGGTGGGTGGGCGGGGCTACCGCCTGCTAAGGTAAGACTGATTTTGGCATGAGTAGAGAGCGGATTTCTGTCGGGCTAGACAAGGCCAAACTCGGTACGGCTCGTACGGGATGGGAATTCATTGCAGTTACCGGCTGCACTTCGTTTATTTGAGATTAGAATAACGCTGCTTCGTTGCACTCTGCTGTTAATTCCAGTTCTCATTTAGTTAGCCGTTTGATTAATAAATCGTTAATTGTATTTATGGAATCAAGTGACAATTAAATTCAGTGATTACCCATGACCCGCTACTGAGTCCCGGCGATGCAGCGCGTCCCCACTAAAATCGTGACGTAGCCCGACAGAAATCCGCTGTCTACAAATGAGACACTCTCAAAAAAAAAGGGCGGGTGGGCGGAGCTGGAAGATGTTAAGACTGATTTTGGCAAATGGCATATTCTCTAAAAAAATAGTGGGCGGGCGGGTGGGGGTAGTAGCTGCTAAGATAAGACTGATTTTAGCAAATGACGTATCCTGTAAGAAATTTAATTAAATTATTATAAGAATAGAGGCTCTAAAGCACTTTCAAATTCTTTCCAAACAGGAATATCTAGAACCTCAAGATTGTTTAAAAAAAAAAAAAATAATAATAATAATAATAAAAAAAAAAAACAACAACTGTCTACCAAAACTGACTCGGAGACAAATCAGGTCAGTCTTCTCTTGAAATATTTAAAAAATCCCAAAACTAAGATAACAAAAAACTGAAAAATCTAAAAATCGAAGAATAAAAAAAAAAAGAAAAATTAAATAATCTAAAACTTGAAAATCGGAAAATTGGAAAGTCGATAAACGGAGACATTGAGGATTTTCAAATGAAGTGAAATTGGAAAATCGAAAAATAGGAAAATCGATAGACAGTGAAATAGAAACATCGAAAAATTCACGAACTGAAGGGGTATCTTATTTGGCAAAATCAGTCTTATCTTAGCAGGTACTAGCCCCACCCGCCCGCCCTCTGTTTTTTTTAGACATGTCATTTGCCAAAATCAATCTTATCTTAGCAAAATACTAGCCCCGCCCACCCACCCTCTCTTTTCTTAGGGGTATGTCATTTGCCAAAATCAGTTTTATCTTAGCAGGTAGTAGCCCCGCCCCCCACCCTATCTTTTCAAAGATTAATTTGTGCAAATGACATACTCTCTAAGAAAAGAGAGGGTGGGTGGGCGGGGCTAGTACTTACTAAGGTAAGATTGATTTTGGCAAATAATTTTTCTGAGAAACTAGGGGGAGGGTGGGTGTGGCTATTACTTGCTCAGATAAGACTTATTTTGGCAAATGACATATCCTCTAAGAAAACAGGGGGCGGATTGGCGGGGCTAGTATTTTGCTAAGTATATTAATCTTGTAAAAACTTGTTAAATTTAAAAGGTGTTAAATTGCAAATTTCCATAGTAACGAGTTAAATTCCTAAATTTGATTGGGTGTTTATTTTTTATGTTTCATTCTACTTTAGGAGCAAGGGAAGTTCTGTTGACACAATTCTTGAATTTTTCGATGTTTCTATTTCACTGTTTATTAATTTTCATATTTTTCGATTTTCAAATTTTATATTATTTAACTTTTCCATTTTTTGAGGTTTCGATTTCTCGCTTTTCAATTTTTCGATTTAATTTTTCAATTTTTGATTCTTCGATTTCTCGATATTTCTATTAATCAATTTTTCGAAATTTTTGATTTTATATTTATCAGTTTTTTGATATCTTAGTTTTGGGATTTTTAAATATTTCAATTTTTAATTATTCGGTTTCTCGGTTTTTGGATTTAATGACATTTTGTTTTTAAAATGTTTCCACTTTTCGATTTTTTGACTTTTCATTCCTCATTTTTATAGTTTCGATTTCTCAATTTTTCGATATTTCAGTTTTAGGATTTTTCAAGTATTTTATTCTTTAATTTTAAGATTTTCAATTTTTCGATATTTTAGTGTTGGGAGTAATAAATTTTTCTATTCTTCAGATTTTCAATTTTTGAGGTTTCAAATTTTCGATTTCGCAATTTCTGGATCTTTGATGTTTTAGCTTTTGAATTTTTCGATATTTCGGTTTCTCGATTTTCAATTTTTGCGATTCCTCAATTTTTCGATATTCGAATTTTGAGATTTTTCATTATTTCAATTTTTCAATTTTTGGATTTTTAAATTTTAGATTTTTTATTTTTTGACATTTTAATTTTTCGATATTAGCATATTTCGATTACTCGATTTTTCAATTTATAGATTTTTTTGATGTTTCGGTTTCTTGACATTTCGTTTTTTTAAATTTTTAGAGTTTCCGATTTTCAGATTTCTCGATTTTCCCATTTTTCGATTTTTCAGTATTTCAGTTTTGAGATTTTCAGTACATATTTTATTTCTTCACTTTTTCGATTTTTTGATATTTTGATTTTTCAGGTTTTTAATGGTTCGAATTCTCGAACTATCGATTTTAAAATTTTTAATTTTTTTTAGTTGTCAATTGTTTCGATTTTTAAATTTTTGACTTCGATTTTCCAATTTTTTTTATTCTTCTTCCATTTTTCAATATTTCAGTTTTGGGATTTTCAGTATTTTGTTTTTTCACTTTTTCGATTTTTTGATATTTTCAAATTTAAAATTTTCCAGTTCTTGGATGTTTCTATTAATTTTAAAAATTTTTCAGGTTTCTGATGTTTCGATTTCTCGACCTACCGAGAAAATTTTCCATTTATTTTAGGTTTAAATTTTTCGATTTCTCCGCTTTTCGACTTTTTACTCTTTTGATGTTTGGATGTTTCTATTTCCTTGTATAACGATTTTCCTAATTTCGATGTTTCCATTTCTCAACTTTTCGATTTTCCAAGTTTTCATCATTTGAATTTTGGAATTTTTCAATTTCTTGGTTGGTCCACTTTTCAATTTTCCGGTTAAATTTTAGATTTTTGATACTTTAATTTAGCAATTTTTAAAATTTAAAATTCTTCGATTTTGTGTTAACTGATAAGATAATACTGACTTTGGCAAATGAGATAACCTTTCCTTTCCTTGAATTTTTCGATTTTCCAATTTTCCGATGTTCAAATTTTAGATTATTTAATTTTTCAATTTTTGATATCTTAGTTCTGGGATTTTTAAATATTTCAATTTTTAATTTTTCTATCTTTTGATGTTTCAGTATTTGAATTTTTTGATGTTTCGATTTCTCGGTTTGTGGATTTCATGACATTTCGTTTTTTTAAATTTTTGGACTTCTCAATTTCCCCGTTTTTATACTTTCGATTTCTCAATTTTTCGATATTTCAATTTTAGGTTTTTTATTCTTCAATTTTTAGATTTTCAATTGTTCGGTATTTTAGTGTTGGGAGTTATAAATTTTTCTATTCTTCAGATTTTCGATTTTAAAATTTTTCGATTTTTGAGGTTTGAAATTTTCGATTTCTCAATTTCTCGATCTTTGATGGTTTAGCTTTTGAATTTTTCGATTTTTTTAATGTTTCGATTTCTCGATTTTCAATTTTTGCGATTCCTCAATTTTTCGATATTTTAATGCATATTTCAATTTTTCGACGTCTCGATTATAGATTTTTCGATATTTGAGTTTTGAGATTTTTCATTATTTCAATTCTTCAATTTTTTGATTTCTTGACATTTCGTTTTTTTCAAATTTTCGACTTTTCCATTTCTCAATTTTTTGATATTTTAATTTAGCAATTTTTAAAATTAAAAATTTTTCAGTTCTTGGATGTTCTTATTTTTTATTTTTTTAATTTTTCAGGTTTTTGATGGTTCGATCTCTCGATTTTAAAATTTTTCATTTTTTTTTAGTTTAAAATTGTTAAATTTTTTAGTGTTTCGACTTCTCACTCTTTTGATGTTTCAGTTTTTTAATTGTTCGATGTTTCTATTTCTCAACTTTACAATTTCCCAAGTTTTCATCATTTGAGTTTTGGATTTTCCAATTTGTTGGTTTGTCGACTTTTCAATTTTCCGCTCAAATTTTAGATTTTTGATACTTTAATTTAGCAATTTTTTAAATTTAAAATTTTTCGATTTTGTGGATTGAGTGGGGTAAGTACTTGCTAAAATAAGATCGATTTGGGTAAATAACATACATCATAAGAAAAGAGAGGGTGGGTGGACGGGCCAAGTACCTGCTAAGATAAGACAGATTTTGGCAAACTCGTAATTCACATATAAAATTTAAATTTAACAACTGTGAAGTAGACTGTTTCCCGGCGGCACAATCCGACACCACAAAATCCAATTTTAGCCACCTTTATACATACTTAATTGTAATTTGGGGCTTCTCATTGTCACCCACAGGCTTCATAGAAATCAGAATCTCTAAAATCGTCTGTGCCCAGTAACTCCTGTACGACAGCAGCCCCAAATCCGACAGGGGTTTCTCCGGAGACCCCGTTTTTCCCTCGAACTTCGACAATTCATAACCTACAAAAACCACTAAAACAACTGTAACACCCCATAGTCAAAACTTACTAAACTCGATCAACAATTTCCCGTACCCTTTCCTCTGATACGGCGGCATCGTTAAAATACAAGCCACATTATAATCCTCCGTCGACTCCTTCTCCTTCGAAAAATACCCCACAATGTGAAACCCCCGACTATCAAAAATCGTCATAACATAAAACAAAAACGGATCCGTGTCGTAATAGAGCGTCTTATGATCCAGAAACAACTTCGCCAGCAAACACAAATTCTGCGCATACACTTTATTCTTCCTACCGTCGATCTCAAAAAACGAAACTGTGTCTTTTCGGTAGATTTCGTTGCCCGGAGGATGCCGCAGGTTGCATTTGGCTAAATGTCGCTCCAAACATTTCCGGCTTTTCCGATACTTCAAACAAAATTCGCAGATATATATACAACTTAAATTAACCATTTCCTGTGGATAGGGGGCGAAGTACCACGGTTTAATTCTATGTTTGCCTAACTCTATGAGATCAATGTTCTTCATTCGGGTGACAATGTCGTCGTGGTGGGAGACCATGCTCCCGGACTGTCTCGGACCTGGGGGCAGCTGCGCAGGCCCGTCTTGAGAATCCTCGCTCTCTAGGGAAGGCCCTTTGCGTTTTCGGTTCATGCGTTTCTGGAGAGCCGCCGCTAGAACGGCGCTGCCGTTCACTAGCTCGGAGCCAGCAACTGGACTTGAGGGTCTGTAAAAAATCATTGTAAACGTGACTAGGATAGAGGGTGGAGTACCTTGAGACGGAACCCACAGGGCCGCCCCCACCCCCGCCTCCCCCAATGTGGACTTTTTTGGGAGTCGACACCCCCGTGTTGCTACCACCATCGCGTCTGGGAAAATGAACCTTACGGGTGTCCAGAGATTCTTCAGTCACCCACTCGTCTAACCGTTTATTAACTACAAGCAACGATTTTTATTTAGTGTCTAGTGAAATTGGATTTGAAAACAAAATGTCAATTGAGCGCCACCTACCGGGACACCCGTGTTTTATTTTCGAAATTTTGTTTGTTTACAACATTGCAAATTTACAATTTCGACACAGTGCTTTTGTTTTGTAATAACATATTTGTTGTGTTTGAACTTACAGTCAACATAATGGACGTAGTAACATTTCGAACCCTGTACTTCCTTAATACTGATAATCTCGGCCAGCGCTGAAACTGTGACAGTAGTAATGGAGGTGTGGTTGTGTTTTAAGTGACTTACGCCAGTCCGAAGTCCCCGTCATGTGAACCGGGAGTCTGCATCCTTCCACCAAGGATGACTAAAAAAGTGAGGTTATGTCGACGAAGTGTACACACGCACAAATTCGTTAATACTCACCACGGAATCGCAAATTGTGCTATCGTCTATTTCTTCCATTTCCACTTTCATCGATTCTGCCTATTTTTGTACTTTTATCACGGAAAAATATTTACCCTCCACACTACTGCACTGTTTGCGTCACTTCTGTCAAACGTCAAAAAAGTGTTGCAATATCCATACCTGTCACTATCCATGAGGTTATCTCGTGATCTCATTAATTTATTTCTGTCGCTACTGCGTTTTATCTTCAATTTCAGCTTAAACCTAATCACTTGGGTGAAATACTCGCGTGTTTATTAATTTTGCGTTTGTCGAACCAGTGCCGTACCGTCACAGACGTAACCGGGGTACGACAACTATGGTGAAAAATCAACTGACACACTTCGCGTGACGTCACATTTAAACGACCAAAGTGCGAGATATTTCCACGGCTTGTGCGCGTTGCGCAACTCTAATTTAAACTTCCGTGCGCTAATCCACTCGACGCCCCTTTTGTCACCACACAAAGCAAATACTTGATAAAATCTGACCTTTAACTCGTTTTTAATCAAAAGTTAACAGTTCACAAGAAGTTATCACGTCTCAAGGCGAAATTATGCCCCCATTAGACTCAGTGCAGCGCTAACCGTCACCAGACATGGAGAATTACACCTCCGACAGCAGCGACAGCGACGGCAACGGCAACAAAATCCTAGATTTTGCGTATCTCCTCCTGGATACCGCAAAAGTCGAAGAACACCTAGACGAAGCGAGCAAAGACATCGGGAAAGTCGAAGACGTCGAAAGTATAATTCTCCACCACAACCAACTGACCACTCTCCCGAGGAATTTCGCCAAGTTCGCCAACGTACAAGTGCTGGATATCAGCAACAATGGGTTGAAAGTGCTCCCGGACGTCTTCGGAAATTGGAATTTGACTACGCTTATCGCTAAAAATAACTGCTTGACGAACGAATCGCTGCCTAAATGTTTTTCGGTTTGCGCGAGTTTGCGGGAGCTGAACTTGAGCGGGAACAGATTCGAGTTTTTTCCGGAACAGTTGTTTGATTTTGCGAGCTTGAGGTATCTTTATTTGGGGGGGAACAAGATCAGGAGCGTGCCTAAGCAAATATGGAAGTTGAGTTGGTGAGTACATAGTTGCTTAAACCGACTTAACTTAAGTAATGTGTGTGTTTGATGTTTAGCCTGCAGATTTTGTCAATGGGGGGCAACCAGCTGCAGGAGGTGCCGTCGACTCTGGGGCAACTCAAACAACTGCACGCCCTCGTGCTTTGTGACAACATAATCGAAAGCTTACCGTCCAACATCGCCAACTTGAACAACCTGAAGTCGCTTCTTTTACACAAGAATAAATTGCGGACGTTGCCGCCGGAAATCGTGGCGCTCAAGAACTTGTCAGAAGTATGTTAGGAGTTTGTTTTTGTTTATTTTTTTTTTAATTTTGTTGTTGTAGTTGAGTTTGCGCGAAAATCCGCTGGTCGTGCGATTCGTTAGTAATATAAGACACCACACTCCGAGTTTGAAGGAGCTGTCGGCGCGGGTGATTAAGCTTCACCAGATTGCGGTGCACCCTGGGGATATCCCCGGGACCCTCATGGGGTACCTAGAGTGCGCTCATCGTTGCGTCAATTCCAACTGCAAGGGTGTGTTTTTCAACAATCGTGTCGAGCACGTCAAGTTCGTGGATTTCTGCGGGAAGTACAGGATTCCGCTGTTGCAGTATCTGTGTTCTGCCAAGTGCGTGACGGAGGAGGACGAAGATCTGCGACCGCCTCGGCCATACATGATGAAAAAAGTATTGTTGGGTTGAATCATAAACAATAAACTTTTAATACTTTCTTTATATTTTAAATATTCATGGTATATATTGCATATTCCAGTGTCAAGTTTACATACAATAAGCAAGAGATATATACAGCATAAAACATTGAGCTGAAAAAAATTTCAAATATAATCCGCCTAAATACTCTAAATAAAATTACAATAGTATTAGGGACTTACTAATTAGCAGTATCGAGGACCAACCAAACATAACCTGGTTACACGTTTCGCGACTGTTTTTTTTTTTTAATAGGCTCGTTAACAGTTGTAAAAGCTTATTTACAAATTTACACTAAATTGCCGAAATATAGAAACGTTTCCGTAGTATTCACCTGCACATTGAGCGGGCCTCGAGGAGTATATTTGGTTGTCCAGAACGAAGATTTACGCTTATAAAACCGAAGCAACCTGTCGATTTTGTCGCGTCTATGAAAGCTGTGCAGGAAGTTGATAATTTTCGTCTACGTACAATTTTCCAAGGCAATAAGAAGGAAACCCTTACGGAGGGTTTCGGTTATTGCCTTCAAAATTTCGGTATTTACAATTGCTTCAGTTCGCTAGTTGATGCTACACATGACAACATGAAGGAAAAATGCGCGGTTGCACTTTCGGTTCATGGTACAACAAAGTGCATTCATAGAATGCATACTCTAACACAAAGCTGTTTGTAAGTTTTCCAATCTCACTTGGTAGAGCTAAAGAATTCCCGAGAACTAAATCATAAATAAAAATATACTCTGTTTTGACTAATTCGGGCGGGCCCGAACCAACTAAATTCAACTAATCCATAAAAAATCTTAACACACTTTGATATGTTATTTTTGACTTTCTACTCTAGAGCATCGCTAATCACGAAATACATCGTTTAAACAAGTATTTACAGGGTAGTTAGTGGGTAGGTGAGGTGACGATTCTCAAGGTCACTACCGTTGCCACCAATACTACTAGCGTAGAAGTCATCTCGCGCAAATTCTAGACATTTCTCCGTATCCTCTCCATTGATTAGGCAATGGAAAGTTCGCCGAAACACGAAGACGTAGAAAAACGACTAAAATTAGAGTCAACTGAGATCTATAAAACGAATAGGGCGTGGCCGTCCGACCGCCATTTTCCTAATGAATGGGGTTAAAATGTCTAAAACTTCGGCTGTAACCAAAGGTACAAGCACACCCAGAGCGGGTTCTGAAATAAAAGAGAATCAACGTTTTGTATAATTTATTCGCATTTTTAGAAAACATTTGTCAATACAGAGGGTGAGGGAGGAATGAGGAGCGGGTAGAGTGTGCTTTTACCTTAAATTAAATATTTATAAATTTGGCTATGTCAAAATAACACACTTTGCACATAATAATTGGTTTTTGCGTTTTTTCTTTCAAAATAACTCCAAACCGTAGACAGTGCACATCTATGGAAACTAATAATAATAATAATGTCCTAGTTTCTTGGAGGCGTGTTCAGAAATTTTAACGCATTGCACTTCGTAAGCTAGTACGATCATTAGGATAATTCTACGTTGTAATGTTTCACTCATTTTTTTTTCTAAAGCGTAAGCTAGAAGTACACAATATTTCAAGATTAAATATCATCTCTTCTTTTGTATACCCATATCATATTCACACCAACTGTTTTAAACTCTACGGTCCTGGATATTATCTCAATGTCAGGTTGTTACAACTATTCATACCAAAAAACGAATAACCTTAAATAATTAACACCAAATGCTTTGCGTAAGTAAATGTTAAAAACCACTAATATAACGATGATTCACCAATAAAAGATCTACGTTATTAATAACTTACTTTCTTTAAAAATATACGAATTTGTATCGGATAATACAAATATGCTCAAAATATCATTGAAAAATCTGTTCCAACAATCATTGCAAAAGAACCTTAATTAATCCAACTAAACCTACTCAATTAAAATTTACACTTTTGTTTATGTATAAATAATATGTACAGACATTGGTGCGACACCAGATTTTTCAATGCAACTGAAATACTCACAACGCAACAAAATTTGTAAAAATGAACGCGCCAAAACAAGTGGGCACGAAACAAACGCCATCTACAAACAACTAATCAAATTCTGTACAAACGCACGTATATTAAATATAGTACAGCTGTCCCAATCAACAATCTCACACAGATCGCTTACTAGATTATAAGGGAGAAGTGGGACGAGACGAGCGAGCCCCTCGAAATTTCCTCTTGAACGGGACCCAGCTCCTTCCCGGGAGGATTGAACTACTTAAGGTATTCCGGCGGCGGTCGCCTGCACCGGGGTCGCCGTCGAGTCGGCCGCGTCCGCCGCCACCGACGACGCGGCGCCATCTTGCGGACTGTTCGCCGCCTCCTGGACCCCTCGCGGTATCAGGACGGCGTTCAGCGCCGGCTGGATATTCAATTCTGCCGACAAACAAACGCGCCGTCACAACACCGACGACTCTAAACAGGCGTCTTTACCTTGTTCTGTGAAATTGAATAAGGGGGGCAATTCTTTGTTTGTGGGCAAGCGAGTGCTGGGGTCCCGGAGCTCGTTGAAGAATGCGTGAGCGCATGCCTGCAGAGGACTGATTCGTGATGATGGAGTGTACTCCAGTAATCTGGCCACTAATTCGATGGCTTCGGGTGGAGTCCGTGCTCGGAATACCTACGGATGTTAGTTTAAGTTTTCTTCGTTCTTCGCTCTCTCGATTTAATTTTGACATGTTTTTGTTTTGTTGTGTACAAGATAACACACACTCGTTACAGGAGGAGTATCTGATAAGAATGTGACGACAGAACTTACACAGACACAAAACATTCGCTATAAATAAACTTCACAATTTACAGTGTTATGTTATACGTTGTAGGGCAAACATTCCTGACGTCGGTGCATGCATTTGTTGATAAACTAGACTTAAAACAAACAAGCGTTTTTACTTTACTTTACTTTAAAAGGTTTGTCTGGTTGTTTCAGATGTTTCGCGATTAAAGACAACGAGTGTATTTTAGTTTCAAACGGTTTCGGTTTAAACGAGGCCACAAAATCGGATTTATCACGGAAATTTAAATTCCCATTAGGCGAAGACATTATTTATTTAAACTTACGATTACCATACAAATTTAATTCAAATTAAGATTAAATTAATCTTTGGAGCAAACTCGAAAATAAAACACGGATGGAAATTTTACGTGGGACGGTCATTTTTTTAATAGAAACTCATTTTGTGTGATGTCATAAAAAAGGTGAAGTTACATTCACTTGTTTCATTAAAGTGAATTTATTGGAATTGGTACAACCGCTTACAATTTCTACGGACTTCCATTATTATTATTATTACCATTATTAGCGCTCTTTTACAGAGTCATAAAATAAGTACTTTTCTATCAAACGATGTTTTAATAGTACCTTGATTGCCATAGACGTTTAGAACATTGGGAAGTTTGTTAAACATATAGTGACGTCAGAGTCATTGTTATAGTGATTATTATTATTGCCAAGTACTAAAGCTGTAATTACGTAAGAATGGTCTGCACAGAAATAAAATGAAATAGAACTTTTAGGAGGTAAATTGGTGTTAAACTGAAGTCTGGAGTTCCAGAATTATCGAAATCCTACTAAAATATTTTTTTACTTATGGTAGTTTTGTGTCTTTTTATTAAATTTTACAATCCGTAATTACCAACATTAACAATAATTCAAGTGATTGTGTAACTAGAATTATGTTGGTATTCCCATGTGTCCAATGTCATATTTTTGAAATTTCCTAAGCATCATAATTATTGATTTAATTTTTGAGTAAATCGCATGAGTGTTCCGGAAATCATAATGAAATATGTCAAAGAAGCAGAAAATTAAATATTGAGGGAGCCCGATACGAAGAAGAGTATCAGCTGCGGTCAATTGTTGAAGTTTGGTTAGAGCCAGGTTATTCACGGATTACCAGCACAAAATAACAAAATCCCCAAGAATTATACTTTAAATTTAACGGGGAACTTTTGTCAAGTTTTTGAAGTAGTGAAAGCATCTTGGGGATCCTTTGTGCTTAGTTTTTAAAGTGGTTTGAAAGAATCTCGGGGACCTTTTGTGACTAGTTTTTGAAGTAGCTTTAAAAATCTTGGGGATCATTTGTCTGGTTTTTGAAGTGGTTTCAAAGATTCTCGGGGATCCATTGTCTGGTTTTTGAAGTAGTTTGAAAGAAGCTCGGAGATCTCTTTTATGGTTTTGAAGTATTTCGAAAGAATCTCGGGGGCCCCTTGTGTCTGGTTTTTGAAGAGGTCTGAAAAAATCTTGGGGATCTTTTCTCTGGTTTTTGAAGTAGTTTGAAAACATCTCTGGGATCATTTGTGCTTACTCTTTGAACCGGTTTGAAAGAATCTCGGGGACCTTTTGTGTCTGGTATTTGAAGTACCTTGAGACAATCTTGGGGATCCTTTGTGTTTAGTTTTTAAAGTGGTTTGAAAGAATCTCGGAGACCTTTGGTGTCTGGTTTTTGAAGTAGCCTGAAAAAATATTGGGGATCCTTTGTGTGGTTGAAGTGCTTTGAAAGAATCTCGAGGACTTTTTGAGTCTAGTGTTTGAAGTATTTTTAAAAAATCTTGGGGAACATTTGTGTCTAGTGGTAGAAGTGGTTTGGAAGAATCTCGCTCTGGTTTTTGAAGTATCTTGAAACAATTTTGGGGAGCCTTTGTGCTTAGTTTTTAAAGTGGTTTGAAAGAATCTCGGAAAACTTTTGTGTCCGGTTTTTGAATTGACTTGCAAAATCTTGGGATCTTTTGTCTGCTTTTTTTGAAGTAGCTTGAAAATATCTCGGGGACATTTTGTCGGTTTTTGAAGTGGTTTGAAAGAATCTCGGGAACTTTTTTTGTCTGGTTTTTGAAGTAACCTGAAAAATTCTTGGGGATCCTTTGTGTATAGTGGTTAAAATGGTTTGAAAGAATATTGGGGGTCCATTGTTTTTGGTTTTTCAAGTAGTTCGAAAGAATCTCGGGGGCCCCTTATGTCTGGTTTTTGAAGAGGATTGAAAAAATTTCGGGAATTTTTGTCTAGTTTTTGAAGTAACTTGAATAATCTTGGGGATAATTTGTCTGGTTTTTGCAGTAGCTTGAAAAATGTTGCGGATTCTTTGTGTTTAATTTTTAAAGTAGGTTGAAAGAACCTGGGGGATCTTTTGTGTCCGGTTTTTGAAGTAGCTCTAAAAAATCCTGGGATCTTTTGTCTGGTTTTTAAAGTAGCTTGAAAAAATCTTGATGATCCTATCTGCTTACTTTTTAGAGTGGTTTGAAAGAATCTCGGAGATCTTTTGTGTCCGGGGGTGCGATTTTGTTTCTCGACCGAAAAAAACCCGTTAGCGATAAAATCTCGTTTGCTGATTGGTTGAGATGCTACATTTCTGTCACATTTCTCGATTCTGTCACGAAATCAAGTCTTCGTGCAGCGATCTTTTATCGATAGCTCTGAGTAAAGTGATAAATTTTGGAGACATAACCTCGAAATTTATGTCAAAATAGAAGTTCAAAATCGTAATTCTGAGTTATAAGTTCTTAAAATTAAGGTAATTGTAAACTTTTGAGCATTTAATAAGCTTATATGCAAAGAATAAATGCAAACTTTTGCATTTAAAACCTACGTAATGACATTTATTTTATCGCTTCGATCGAGAAACAAAATCGCACCCCGGTTTTTGCAGTAGCTTTAAAAAATCTTGGGGATCTTTTGTCTGGTTTTTGAAGTCGCTTGAAAAAATCTTCGGGATCCTTTCTGCTCAGTTTTTAAAGTGGTTTGAAAGAATCTCGGGGGCTTTTTGTATCGGGTTTTTGAAGTAGCTTTAAAAAATCTTGGGGATCCTTTGTGTCTCGTGGTTGAAATGGTTTGAAAAAATCTCGGGGAACTTTTGTCTGGTTCTTGAAATGATTTGAAAGAATCTCGGGGATCCATTGTGTCTGGTATTTGAAGTAGTTTTAAAAAATCTTGGGGATAATTTGTCTGGTTTTTGAAGTAGCTTGCAAAAATGTTGCGGATCCTTTGTGTTTAGCTTTTAAAGTAGTTTGAAAGCATCTCGGGGACCTTTTGTGTCCGGTTTTTGAAGTAGCTTTAAAAAATCCTGGGGTTCTTTTCTCTGCTTTTTCAAGTAGCTTGAAAAAATCTTGGTGATCCTATCTGCTTACTTTTTAGAGTGGTTTGAAAAAATCTCGGAGATCTTTTGTGTCTGGTTTTTGAAGTAGCTTTAAAAAATCTTGGGGATCTTTTGTCTGGTTTTTGAAGTAGCTTGAAAAAATCTTCGGGATCTTTTCTGCTCAGTTTATAAAGTGGTTGTAAAATGTTCGGGGAACTTTTATCTGGTTTTTGAAATGGTTTGAAGGAATCTCGGGGACCCCTTTTGTTATGGTTTTGAAGTAGTTCGAAAAAATCTTACAGATCATTTGTCTTTAGTTTTTAAAGTAGTTTGAAAGAATTTCGGGGACCTTTTGTGTCCGGTTTTGAAGTAGCTTTAAAAAATTCTGGGGATCTTTTGTCTGGTTTTTGAAGTAGCTTGAAAAAATCTTCGGGATCCTTTCTGCTCAGTTTTTAAAGTGTTTCGAAAGAATCTCGGGGACCTTTTCTGTCAAATTTTTGAAGTAGCTTTAAAAAATCTTGGGGATCATTTGTGTCTAGTGGTTGAAGTGGTCTGAAAGAATCTCGGGGATTCATTGTGTCTCGTTTTTGAAGAGGTTTGAAAAAATCTTGGACATTTTTTGTCTGGTTTTTGAAGTCAAGTAGTTTGAAAACATCTTGGGGATCGTTTGTGCTTAGTTTTTGAAGTGGTTTGAAAGAATATCGGGAATCCCTTGTCTGGTTTTTGAAGTGGTGAAAAAACATCTTGAGGACTCTTTGTGCTTAGTTTTTGAAGTGGTTTGAAAGAATCTCGGGGATTCCTTGTGTCTGGTTTTTGAAGTAGTTTGAAAGAATCTCGGGGACCCCTTGTATATGGTTTTTGAAGTGGTTTGAAAGAATCTCGGGGGACTGTTATCTGATTTTTGAAGTGATTTGAAAACATCTCGGAGACCCTTTGTGCTTAGTTTTTGAAGTGGTTTGAAAGAATCTCGGGGATCTTTCGTGTGATTTTTGAAATAGTTTGAAAGAATTTCGGGTAACTGTTGTCTGGTTTTTGAAGTAGTATGAAAACATGTTGGGAACCCTTTGTGTTCAGTTTTTGAAATGGTCTGAAATAATCTCGGGGATCCCTTGTGTCTGGTTTTTGAAGTGGATGGAAACAATCTCGAGATCTTTCGTCTGGCTTTTGAAGTGGTTTGAATGAGTGTCGAGGAACTTTTGTCTGGTTTTTGAAGTAGTTTGAAAACCTCTTGAAGATCTTTTGTGCTTAGTTTTTCAAGTGCTTTGAAAGAATCTCGGGGAATTTTCTTCTGGTTTTTGAAGTAGTTTGAAAACATCTTGTGGATCCTTTGTGCTTAGTTTTTGAAGTGGTTTGAAAGAATCTCGGGGACTTTAAGGTCTGGTTTTTGAAGTAGCTTTAAAAAATCTTGGGGATTTTTTTTCTGGTTTTTGAAATGGTTTGAAAGAATTCCGGGGATCTTTCGTCTGGTTTTTGAAGTAGTTTGAAAGAATCTCCGGGAACTTTTATCTGATTTTTGAAGTGGTTCGAAAGAATCTCGGGGATCCCTTGTCTGGTTTTTGAAATGGTTCGAAAAAATCTCGGGGAACTCTTGTCTGGCTTTTGAAATGGTTTGAAAACATCTTGGGGACCTTTTGTGCTTAGTTTTTAAAGTGGTTTGAAAGAATCTCGGGGATCTCTTGTATCTGGTTTTTGAAGTAGATTGAAAGAATCTCAGGAACCCCTTTTGTTTTGGTTTTGATGTAGTTCGAAAAAATCTCGGGGACATTTTGTATCCAGTTTTTGAAGTAGTTTGAAAAATTCTTGGGCATTTTTTGTGGCTAGTTTTTGAAGTAGTTTGAAAGAGTTTTCGGGATTTCTTGTCTTGTTTTGGAAGTATATTTAAAAAATCGCGGATATCTGTTGTGTTCTGTTATTTGAAATAATTTGTAAGAATCTTTGGGACCTTTGTGTTTTATTGTTGAAGTAATTTGGAAGAATCTAGGAGACCCTTTGTTTTTGAAGTAATAATTCCTTTATATCTCGGCAGTTTTAATATCTGAGCCGTTATAAAACAGCGCTGCCACACTGAATATCGTATTAATTAAAATATTTTAGTACGATTTCTAACAAAAAACAAAATTTATAAACTAATGACAACTAATTAATCGCAAAAATCGGCATTCTCTGCAGACTTTCATTAGTTTCATATTGATAAAAGTCAAAGTTCTTTTCGGTGAAAGTAACGCTTTGAGCAACATTTTTTACACCAAAAAACAAAATAAGTTACAGAATGCGGCAACTATGCAACTTGTATGTATTTCCCAATTAAACAAAACAGGAAAAGAAACCACGAATATTTTAGTTTCGACTTTTAAAACAGTGCACATCAAACACACACAAAAAGAGTTTCCAAACTCGAACTTTTCACTGACCCTGGATAGTGACCTTTATAAATCCATGCTAAAATAGCTTCGTATGCGTAGTTGCTAGTTGAATTTCAAACAAAAACAAGTTCTTATAATACAATGACGACTTGTTTCCTGATTTATCTACTTGGAATTCACACGTTCCAGACAATAGATCATTGCGCTTTGATTAATAGCCCTTTTATGTTCTTACGTAAGAAATCTCCAACATCTGTCTAGACAAAACGCAAATGTCGAGTTTCCAAAAAGCCCGCGGCCATGTGGAAAAGAGAAAAGGTGAACTGTTTACGAAAACAAACTTTTCCTGCTGAACTTGACAATATCAAACGTAGACGCTCGGTCTTACAATATTGGCGAATCCGCGTCGACGTAGTTGTGTGTTTAAAATATTGACGGAGATATCGCGTAATTAGTTTATGATAAAATCACATGTTTAGTTAACAAGCTACGCAATCTCGAAATTGGGGTTGTAGAAAAAAAAGTGGATGAAAGCGGCGTTTTTGCGCACTCGAAATGCGTCACTCGCATCATTCATTCATAAAATTAGCTATTGAAGTATGAATTATAGATATCGGGCGTGTACTAGCCACTTGCGTGAGACTTCTACTTGCTTCATTCACACTATCACTATCGTAGAGAAAAAAACGTACGAAGTGTCAGAAAAAGTACGAACAAATCCTTGTGTTACGCCACATGCACACACAGCGTAATAAAAAAACCACCACAAACCCAGGCCTTTTTGAGTTAAGTAACGTGAATGACGGCAAGTAACCAAAGCCACTTACACGTATTCTTTGGTGATTGGTGCTACAATGCGGTAGAGACATTCTCGACAGCAAAAACTGCAAACAGACGTCCTCGTCAAACTCACTTGTATCAAAACAAGCGTGTGTTTGGTTAGTAGAGTTATTTGTTGTAAAGACACAACAGGGGTGGTGATGATGAAGAAAAAGTGATTTCGAACGTCTGGTTTGTAGTCGATGCATGTGTCGAGCTTATTTATTCGAGAGGTTTTAGTCGTTTAGGGCGAAAGTCGCCCGACTTTTCGGTATTGATTCGGCGTGACGATCAGCTGATTCCGTGAAATAATAATCGAACAGTGGCCACTTTTCGGGCGGGATGAGGTGGAAGCGTTTTACGGAGACGTCAAGGCCCGGACAATACACGGGGGTGTTGAAACATTGAGGGAGAATTGGACTCTGGGGTTTTTAAGCTTGCATGGGGGCGGCGTGGGTTTCTACCTGCCCGCTAAACACACACACACACACACATAGATACACACATATAACATAAATGTAGCCAAGGTCGCGCGCGTTTACCTCTCTAATAAATAAGGAGCGTCGTGCTTGATATGCACGTACACACACATACACAATGTCAAGGTTACTTCCCGTTAGTCCACACACATGCGAAGCGTCTTAAACAGAAAATCACGCGTACGCCACCAACCTGCTGCCAAGGATGCGACTTGATCTGGGGGAACTTGAACTCTGTGTAATTCGGATTCATCTCTTTGATCTGTTCCTTAGTCGGAGTCCCTAAAACTTTGATAATTTCTACTAATTGGTCTACACCCGAGTCACCAGGGAATATCGGCTGTCCGAGGAGGAGTTCGGCGAGGACGCAGCCCGCACTCCAGACGTCTATCTTCGTGGTGTAGTCGATCGCCCCGAATATGAGCTCCGGCGCCCTGTAGTAGCGGCTGCATATGTACGAAACGTTCGGTTCGCCTTTGACGAGGTGTTTCGCGCTGCCGAAGTCGCACAGCTTCAGGATTCCCGTGCCGGGATCGAGAAGGAGGTTCTGTGGTTTTATGTCCCGGTGACAGATGCCCAACGAGTGGATGTACGCCAACGAGCGGAATAACTGGTACATGTACAACTGCGAACGAGAAAGAGATTAATACAGAAAGTGAAACCGAATGGAGATAATCGCATGAAATTCGGAACACTTTGTATGTTGTTTGCGTTATATTGTGTTAATGAAAGCAAAATCGATACTTCGTGGGTGTTCAGCTAAAGGTAAAATGAAGTTGAGTGAGTTTTAGCAATTTTGATGCGGTTTTGCGTTCGAACATTTCGGTCCCTAATGGTTTCAGTCAAAACGATAAGATCAACTCAGGTCAGGTCAGGGACCACTTTTGTTTTATTTTTGAAGTACATAGTTTGTTAGAATCTCAGGGACCTGGTGTCTGGTTTTTGAAGTAATTTCAAAGAATTCCGGGAATCTGTTTTGTTTTTGAAACAGTTGAAAAGAATCTTCGGGAACATTTTTGTATTATTTTTGAAGTAATTTTAGGAATTTCAGAATCTTTTTTGTATTTTGTTTTTGAAGTAGTTGAAAAGAATCTCGGGAATCTTTTTTGTTTTATTCTTGAACAAACTACTTCAAGAATGGTTTTTGAAGACATTTTAGAAATCGGGGGGATTTCTTTTGTTTTATTTCTGAAATAGTTGAAAAGAATCTCCGGGAACATTTTTGTTTTATTTTTGTAGTAGTTTCAAAAAATCTCGCGTATCTCTTTTGTTTTGTTGTTGAAGTAGTTTGAAGGATCTAGGCGATCTCTTTTGTTTTGTTTTTAAAGTAATTGAAAAGAATCTCGGGGACTACTTCTGTTTTTATTTGAAGTAATTTTAAGAATCTCGGTGATCTATTTTGTTTTTTTTTTTAACTAGCTTGAAAGAATCTCGGGGACCACTTCTGGGTTATTTTTAAAGATATTTTAAGAATCTGGGGGATCTCTTTTGTTTTGTTTTTGAAGTAGTTTGAAAGAATCTTGGGGACCACTTTTGTTTTATTTTTGAAGTAATTTTAAGAATTTGGGGATCTTTTTCATCTTGTTTTTGAACTACATTGTTTGTTAGAATCTCGGGGATCCCTTTTGTTTTGTTTTTTAAGTAATTTGAAAGAATTCCGAGAATCTCTTTTGGTTTGTTTTTGAAGTAGTCGAAAAGAACCTCGGTGATTTTTGTTTGTTTTATTCTTGAACAAACTACTTCAAGAATGGTTTTTGAAGATATTTTAAGAATCTCGGGGATTACTTTTGTTTTTGAAGACATTTTAAGAATCTGGGGGATTTCTTTTGATTTATTTCTGAAATAGTTGAAAAGAATCTCCGGGAACATTGGTGTTTTATTTTTGAAGTAGTTTGAAAAAATCTCGCTTATCTTTTTTGTTTTGTTTTTGAAGTAGTTTGAAAGGATCTCGGCGATCTCTTTTGTTTGGTTTTGAAGTAATTAAAAAGAATCTCGGGGATTAAATTTTTGTTTTTATTTGAAGTAATTTTAAGAATCTTGGGGATCCATTCTTTTGTTTTCGAAGTACATATTTTGAAAGAATCTCGGTGATCCATTTTGTTTTTTTTTTAACTAGTTTGAAAGAATCTCGGGGACCACTTCTGGGTTATTTTTAAAGATATTAAAAATCTGAGGGATTTCTTTTGCTTTGTTTTATTTTTGACGTGATTTTAAGAATCTCACGGACCTTTTTTGCCTTGTTTTTGAAGTAATTTTAAGAATTTCGCGATTTTTTTTCTCCCGTTTTTGAAGTAGTTTGAAAGGATCTCTGGGACCTCGTGTTTGGTTTTTGAAGTAATTTTGTTTTATTTTTGAAGATATTTTAAGAATCTCGTGGATTTCTTTTGTTTTTGAAGTGGTTGAAAATAATATACGGGATCCCTTTTGTTTGGTATTTTTGATATTTTAAAAATCTCGGGCATCTCTTTCGTTTTGTTTTTGAAGTAGTTGAAAAGAATCTTGGGGATCCCTTTTGTTCTTGAAGATATTTTTTGTTTTATTTTTGAAGTAATTTTAAGAATTTCAGGGATCTTTTTTGTCTTGTTTTTGAAGTAGTTTGAAAAAATCTCTTGGATCTCTTTTGTTTTGTTTTTGAAGTGGTCTATGGGATCTTTTTTGTTTTATTCTTCAAATAGTTTGAAAGGATCTCGGGGATTTCTTTTGTTTCTGAAGTAGTTGAAAAGAAGTTCGAGGATATCTTTTGTTTTGTTTTTGAAGTACCTAACAGAAAAGAATCTCGGGGAACACTTTTGGGATATTTTTAAAGATATTTTAAGAATTTGGGGCATCTCTTTTGTTTTATTTTAATTTTGAAGTAACTTTTAGATTCTCAGGGATCTTTTTCGTCTTGTTTATGAAGAAGTTTGGAAGAACCTCGGGGATTCCATTTGTTTTTGAAGATATTTTAAGAATCTGAGGGATCTCTTTTGTTTTATTTTTGAAGTAATTTTAAGAACCGCGGGGATCTTTTTTGTCTTTTGTTTTTGAAGTAGTTTGAAACAATCTCGGGGACCTCGTGTCTGGTTTTTGAAGTAGTTTTGTTTTATTTTGAAGATATTTTAAGAATCTCGGAGATCTCTTGTGTTTTTGAAGCGGTTGAAAAGAATATACGGGATCGCTTTCGTTTGGTTTTTGAAGATATTTTAAGGATCTGGGGGATCTCTTCTGTTTTGTTTTTGAAGTAGTTGAAAAGAATCTGGGATCTTTTTTGATTTTGAAGATATTTTAAGAATCTGGGGGATCACTTTTGATTTGTTTTTGAAATAGTTTGAAAAAATTTCTGAAATCTTTTGTTTTCTTCTTGAAGTAGTTTGAAGAGATCTCGGGGATTTCTTTTGTTTCTGAAGTAGTGGAAAAGAATCTCGAGGAGCCCTTTTGTTTTTTTTTAACTAGTTTGAAACAATCTCGGGCTTCTCTTCTGTTTCATTTTTGAAGTAATTTTAAGAATCTCGGGGATCTTTATTTTCTTTGGTTTTCGAAGTAGTTTTGTTTTATTTTTGATATAATTTTAAGAATTTGGGGATCTTTTTTTATCTTATTTTTGAAGTACATAGTTTGTTAGAATGTCGGGGATCTCTTTTGTTTTGTTTTTGAGGTAGTTCGAAAGAATCTCTGGGATCTCGTATTTGGTTTTTGAAGTAATTTGAAAGAATCTCGGGGACTTCGTGTCTGGTTTTTCAAGTAGATTTGTTTTATTTTTGAAGATATTGATATTTAAAGAATCTCGGGAATCTCTTTTGATTTTGAAGTAGTTGAAAAGAATTTCGGGGATCTCTTTTGTTTGGTTTTTGAAGATATTTTAAGAATCTCCGGGACCATTTTTCTTTTATTTTTGATATGATGTTAAGACTTTGGAGATCTTTTTTATCTTGTTTTTGAAGTACATAGTTCCTTAGAATCTCGGGGATCCCTTTTGCTTTGTTTTTGAAGATATTTTAAGAATCTCGGAGATCTCTTTTGTTTTGTTTTTAAAACCGTTTAAAAAAAGTCTTCGGGATCATTTTTGTTTTATTTTTGAAGTAATTTTAAGAATCTCAGGGATCTTTTTTGTCTTGTTTTTGAAGAGGTTTGAAAGAATCCCGAGCATCCCATTTGTTTTGAAGATATTTTAAGAATCTGGGGCATCTCTTTTGTTTAATTTTCGAAGTAATTTTAAGAATCTCCGGGATTTTTTTTGTTTTTTGTTTTTGAAGTAGTTTTGTTTTATTTTTGAAGATATTTAAAGAATCTCGGGGATCTCTTTTGATTTTGAAGATATTTTAAGAATCTGGGGGATCACTTTTGTTTTGTTTTTTAACAATCTCGGGGATGTTTATTGTCTTTTGTTTTTGAAGTAGTTTAAAAGAATTTCGGGGACGTCGTGTCTGGTTTTTGAAGTAGTTTTGTTTTATTTTTGAAGATATTTTAAGAATCTTTGGGATCCCTTTTGATTTTGAAGTAGTTGAAAAGAATCTCGGAGATCCCTTTTGTTTGGTCTTTGAAGATATTTTAAGAATCTCGGAGATGCCTTTCGTTTTGTTTTTGAAACAGTTGAAAAAAATTTTCGGGATCATTTTTGTCTTGTTTTTGAAGAGGTTTGAAAGAATCTCGAGCATCCCATTTGTTTTTGAAGATATTTTAAGAATCTGGAGGATCTCTTTTGTTTAATTTTTGAAGTAATTTTAAGAATCTCAGGGATTTCTTTTGTCTGTTGTTTTTGAAGTAGTTTTGTTTTATTTTTGAAGATATTTAAAGAATCTCGGGGATCTCTTTTGATTTTGAAGATATTTTAAGAATCTGAGGGATCACTTTTGTTTTGTTTTTTAACAATCTCGGGGATGTTTATTGTCTTTTGTTTTTGAAGTAGTTTGAAAGAATTTCGGAGATCCCTTTTGTTTGGGTTTTGAAGATATTTAAAGAATCTCGGAGATGTCTTTCGTTTTGTTTTTGAAGTAGTTGAAAAAAATCTCGGGGATCCCGTTTGTTTTTGAAGATATTTTAATAATCTGGGGGATCTATTTTGTTTAATTTCTGAAATAGTTGAAAATAATCTCCGGGACCATTTTTGTTTTATTTTTGAAGTAATTTTAAGAATTTTAGGGATCTTTTTTGTCTTGTTTTTGAAGTAATTTGAATGGATCTCTGGGATCTTTTTTGTTTGGTTTTTGAAGATATTTTAAAAATCTCGGAGACTTTTTTGTATTGTTTTTAAACTAGTTTGAAAGAATCTCGGGGGCCACTTTTATTTTACTTTGAAAGATATTTTAAGAATCTCGGGGATCTCTTGTGTTTTGTTTTTGAAGTATGTAGTTGTAAAGAATCTCGTGGAACACTTTTGTTTTATTTTTGGAGATATTTTAAGAATCTCGGGGATCCCTTTTATTTCATTTTTGAAGTAATTTTAGGAGTCTCGGGGATCCCTTTTGTTTAATTTTTGAAGTAATTTTAGGAGTCTCGGGGATCTCTTTTGTTTTGTTTTTGAAGTATGTAGGTGAAAGGAATCTTGGGGATCCATTTTGTTTTTGAAGATATTTTAAGAATCTTGGGGATCTCTTTTGAATTTGAAGTAGTTGAAAAGAATCTCGGAGATGTCTTTCGTTTTGTTTTTGAAGTAGTTGAAAAAACTCTCGGGGATCCCTTTTGTTTAATTTCTGAAATAGTTTGAAAAGAATCTCCGGGACCATTTTTGCTTTATTTTTGAAGTAATTTTAAGATTTTTAGGGATCTTTTTTGTCTTGTTTTTGAAGCAGTTTGAATGGATCTCGGGGATCTCTTTTGTTTGGTTTTTGAAGATATTTTAAAAATCCCGGAGACGTTTTTGTATTGTTTTTAAACTAGTTTGAAAGAATCTCGGGGGGCACTTTCATTTTACTTTTAAAGATATTTTAAGAATCTCTGGGATCCTTTTTGTTTTATTTTTGAAGTAGTTGAAAAGAATCTAGTGGAAGACTTTTGTTTTATTTTTGGAGATATTTTAAGAATCTCGGGGATCCCTTTTGTTTCATTTTTGAAGTAATTTTAGGAGTCTCGGGGATCCCTTTTGTTTTTGAAGATATTAAGAGTCTGGGGATATTTTTTGTTTTGTTTCTGAAGTAGTTTGAAAGAATTCCGGCGACCACTTTTGTTTTATTTTTAAAGATATTTTAAGAATCTCGGGGATCTCTTTTGTTTTTGAAGTAGTTGAAAGAATCTCAGGGACCACTTTTCTTTTATTTTTGAAGTAATTTCAAGAATCTCTGGGATCTTTTTTGTATTTTGAAACAATCTTGGGGATCCCTTTTGTTTTGTTTTTGAAGTAGTGTGAAAGAATCTCGAGGACCCCTTTTATTTTGTTTTTGAAGTAGTTTGAAGCAATCTCGAGGACCCCTTTTGTTTTTCGTACGTATGCTTCTAGTACAACTCGGGCAAAAATGATTAACAATGGAAGCATCAAAATGAAACGTAAAAATCGTTCGGTGGCGCGAACTTCGTTCGCTCGACGTGGCTCGTTAGTGCACCGAATCAAACAACAAACAAAGCGCGATCTAATCTACTTTAATGCAATAAAAATTGATTGTGTGGTGGCAAAAAAATCCCTTATCTAACGCAAACAACATCCGCTTATTATTAGTTCGACGACGAAGATCCTTATCTTACCTTGATAAATATTATCGGGATAGTTTGCTTTGATTTGCTGTAATGCCGTGCTACTCTGTATACCGTTTCTGGGATGTATTCCAACACCAAGTTCAGGTACACTTCGTCCTTCTGCAACGTGAAAACAATCATTTCGGTTGGATGATTTACGACACTGCGCGCAACAACACCTCACTCAAAATCGCAGAGGATAAGGTGCGTTCAATATCCTATGTTTAGATAAAAATAGAATATTGGAAAAAAAAAAAAAACAAAAGAGTCGCTCCAAGCGTTTAAAAAAAATCACCTGTAGCGAGAGAACGGTTTGTATTTCGAAGAGAAAAGTTTTCCTATTGACGGCTATAAAACTTGTCTAATATAGAGAGTTTTCTATCAACTATCGAAAAATCTCGAAACGTATCAGCGTCTGCTCAAGATTACAACACGTCCCTTGAATGTCAATGTCAAGGTTCATTTATCACTTTCTACCATGAAGTAAGAAAATCACTCTACTACGACGTCGCGATAGTGTAGTTGTTGGCAGCAACTCGCTATTAGTAAAATGGTTAAGTTTATGACAAGCCTACTTAAAACGACACCTTCAAATCGTGATAAAACGACCCGAGATTAATCAACAAACAACAACGACAGCGTCCATGGAGGTGCCTTGTTAAGCGTCAAAACCACTATAGCCAGGGGTACCAACATTCTACGTGAAGCGCAGGAGCATACCTGCAAACTCGTCGCCATGAAAATGGACATATCGCAAGGAACATCAGCCTGCTATAGATAAAAACAGGTATAAAACGTACAGAATTGTCACACTGTCTGTCAATTTATGAACCGCCTTTAATCAATTACCGGTTAGCGAATCTGCCTTGTCGATATTCAAATGTGATTCTTGCGGCTCGTCGAAGTATATAATACGAGCTTGTTGCAGCTCAACCGTGATTAATTACTTTAATAGACTAGGCGGAAACTGCAAATGAGCTCATAAATGACATTTACCCAAGGTGGGAATCGTTAGCTAACTACAAAGACGTCGTGGGCTACGAAAAAGGGACGCCGCCCTCGTGCGGATTACGTCACAGGAAAGGAGAAAAAACGGAGGGCCATAAAATATTAAAATACCTTCGGTTTGTCTAATCGATTGCGCGTACAGGTGGCTCTACGCAATCAACCCGACAACTACCCAACTTCCACAACTACTCACCTTATCTCCACTGGAGTAAAAGAAATATTTAAGTTTAACTATATTACAATGTTCTAGTTTCCTCATGATCTGGAGTTCTCGATTCTGAAACCAAGAGGCACGGTTAGTAAGAATTAAAACTTTGGGTTAACCACCCACCTTAAACCTCTTATCCTGGAGGACCTTCTTGATGGCGACGAACTCGTTGGTCTCGCACAGTTTGGCCTGGTAGACGACCCCGAAGCTGCCATTGCCGATGACTTTGGTGTCGGTGTATGAGACTTCCTGCGGCCTGTCTGGACCCTGTCCGGGTGTGGCGACCACCGTAGTCACTTTGCTACCGTCCTTGCCTATGTAGCCACCAGCAAAAAGAAAACAAAACATAACGTGTCTGTTACGGACCGGAGCACCCCCGGTCGGAGGGCCATCGATCAACAATCACGACATTACGTAACGGAAAACAATGCATACGATTGTGCAAGACGTGCGGCGAATGGTTATCGGTCGGGTTCGCTCTTTCACTCGTGATTCGACTACAGAACGCCGGTCCAGGGAGTGAGTGCGGGGCTCTCGCTTTTCCGGGAGGCAGGCAAACGCGCCCGAGGATGATTGAATTAGGCAACCCTTCCCACATCTTTTATTAAGTGTATCGCCGAAACTGGGACGGATCCGATCAATCGGCCCGAGCGGAGCCGTCAAGGTGGTGTCTGGGGTTCGGCCGCCGCGGAGCGAGCAGTGGAGGAAAGCGCTTCCGACCCCAAGAACTACCGCTGAAAATTCATCCCTCGAAAATATACTGCACCAATTGGTACTAAATTTATCAAAAAAGATCAAACGTCAAACGACGACCTGTCAAAACTGTCCTCCACATAGTCACAACCTTTTATTTTTCCTCTCCTTGATTTTTTTAATAATAATAATAATAGTGAAAATCGCAACCGTCCCCCCCTCCGGCTTCCTCCACTGCCTGCGCCCGGCCCCGCTCTACACAGAAATTGCAAAAAGGAGTGCAGTGAATACCTGGCTTGTGTTTGGTCGAAGCAATGACGTAGTGCTCGTCGTCGAACACTTCCCGGTTTTTTTCTTTAGCGTTCGCCCCAGTTGCCATCGGAGAGGATCTTGCGACGCACGATTACGTTCTTGTCCCAAGCAGAATCCGAATTAAATTTTAACGAGGTGTGCTCGTTCGCAAGCCGTGATAATTTCAGGCGATGGATTAAACTGGAGAAGAATATTGTACAAATGTGGCACTTGGAAATTAACGTGGAAAGGTTAAATCTAAAAAGTCATTGTGACGTTGCTGCGGCGGCCGGCTACTTCGTTAATTTTGGCGCTGGGCACAGACACGATCGGACTGGGGAGTTTTTTTGGAAAATTATTGCCTGCTTCAAAACGGGACGTTTTCGGGCTTGATCAACTTTCGCGTAACCTTGATGATTATGATAGTGGTTATAATAAGAATTGCTGATAAATAGTAAACGTAACAATGATAACAGCGCCAATAAAAAAAGATGTAGCGATTTAATGGTGCGTTCGTTTGAGCTTTAGACTTTTGTTTTCAAGGTTCTTCCATCATTCAATCATACAATTCAAATAAACCAATTACTTCTAAGTAGATTTTTCTTTCTTTGGAAATAAACTAATTATTTTACAATGGGTGTCGTAAATTATGGAATTTAGTCGTGATAAAGGTGAGGTTCAAATACCCGACAAGGTTGTAAAAGAAGAAAGTCACTTTAAATTGTGCGCCAGTGTGAACTGTGTAATGTGAGTTGCCTGACTTTAATTAACTAAATTCATTCAAAACGAACTTTTTAAAGAAACTTTTAAAACAAAATTAGTGTTTAACTATGCATCGCACAACTTAAGTAGATCAATAGCTCCACGAGCTAAATATTCTGGGTTTTTCAGGTGTGCGTCAACTGGCTTAGATTCTAAAAAAGACGCAAACTGCTAACTTTCAGATGGAAATAGTGCTCACATTCGAACTACTGATCACTTTGGTCATTTATTACTAATCATGCTGAGCAAGATTTTAAACAGATTTGGTTTGAAAATCGATTTTTAAAAAAGGAAAGTCTAAAGGATGACGTCTGACGTCTACAACAAAATTTCTTTCAGTTTTTTTTTAGAAAAAAAGGGTCGAATTTTTATAAGGGATGAAAGTAGTACTACAGAAAAATCGATCTTTTGGAAAATTGTCCAAGAATCCACAAAAAATACGCTGATATAGGTCTCAATGCGCTGATTCGAAAATTACACAGGTCAAAATTTTCAAAAAAAAAAAATTTCATTGAGTTTCTAGAAAACTAGGAGTCGAAGAAATGACGCCGAAAGCAAATTCTGAATGTCAAAATATACAAAAACGATCTCTCTAGGTAATTTTGAAAAGTGCTCCAAATGAAGTCGAAATTTCCGTAAGTACTGGAAAATTGAGCTTTTGAATAAGTTGCTTAAAAATCACCAAAAAATTCTGAGATATAGATCTCGACGTGCTGATTCGAAAAAAAAAAACATGTCTATGGTTCCGAGCAACATTTGAGAAATATTTGGTTTTAAATTCAATAATAAAAAAATCCAAAAAATCGACATTGGGACGTTATGGAAGAAATGAGGCTGAAACTAACATCTGGAGGTCCAAATCTACAAAAGAAATCACTTTCGATAAATTTCGAAGGTGGACGAAAAAAGTACGAAATTTTCGAAGCGATTGAAAAATCGAGCTTTTGAAAAATTTGCCTAAATATCCATAAAAAATTTTAGAAATATTCAGTCTCATATTTTTATTATTATTATTATTATTGTTATTAAAAATATCCATATTTCATTGGGAAAAGTAAAAGTGAAAATTCTTTTTGAAGAAATAAAGCCGAAAGTCACTTCTGGAGATAAAAAAAAAAAAAAAAACTCTGGGTAATTTTCAAACGGTAGTCGAAATATTGGGTTTGAATATCAATTTTTTAAAAATTGTGATATTTCATTAGGCGATTCTGAACAAATGATTTCATAGAAAAAATCACTTCTGGAAGTCGACGTCTACAAAAAAATCTATTTTGTGAATTTTGGGGGGTACTCGGGAAAAAATCAAAATCTACTATCACACAAAACGGAATTTTTGGAAATATTCGGTTTGTAATTCGAATTAAAAAAAATCCTTAAAATTGCCCATTTTCGAAGGTGGTCGAAAAAAGGTCAAAATTTTCATACTTAACGCAAAAATTGAGCTTCTAGAAAAATGGTCTCAAAATTCACAAAAAATCTAGAATATAGATTTGGATGTGCTGATTCAAAAAATATAGAATAATTATGATCCTGGGTCAAGATTTTAAAAATAATCGGTTTGGAATTCGAATTTAAAAAAAAAACCCTAAAATTGCCCATTTTCTTGAGAGATTCTAGAAAACTGAGACCACTTTTCGAAGAAATGAAGCCGAAAGTAACTTCTGGAGGACGAAATGTACAAAAAAAAAAATCTGGGTCATTTTCGAAGATAGTCGAAATATTGGGATTGAAAATCAATTTTTAAAAGATTCTAAAAATTACCAATCTAGAACAATGATCGGAGTTTTCGAAGAAAAAGAACTTGTGGAGGTCAAAATTTTCAAAAAAAAATTCTTTTAGGCAATTTCCGAAACTGGTCGAAAAAAGGTCGAAATTTTCATACTTTACACAAAAATTGAGCTTTTAGAAAAACGGTCTAAAAATTCACAAAAAATCTAGAATATAGATTTCGAAGTGCTGATTCGAAAAATATAGAATAATTATGATCCTGGGTCAAGATTTTAGAAATAATCGGTTTGGAATTCGAATTTAAAAAAAAAACCCTAAAATTGCCCATTTCCTTGAGAGATTATAGAAAACTGAGATCACTTTTCGAAGAAATGAAGCCGAAAGTAACTTCTGGAGGACGAAATGTACAAAAAAAAAAAAAAAATCTGGGTCATTTTCGAAGGTAGTCGAAATATTGGGATTGAAAATCAATTTTTAAAAGATTCCAAAAATTACCAATCTAGAACAATGATCGGAGTTTTCGAAGAAAAAGTGGAGGTCAAAATTTAAAAAAAAAATTCTTTTAGGCAATTTCCGAAACTGGTCGAAAGAAGGTCGAAATTTTCATACTTTACGTAAAAATTGAGCTCTTAGAAAAATGGTCTCAAAATTCACAAAAAATCTAGAACATAGATTTAGAAGTGCTGATTCGAAAAATACACCATATTTATGTTCCTGTGTCAAGATTTTAGAAATAATCGGTTTGAAATTCCAATTTTTAAAAAACCCTAAAATTGCCAAATTCCTTGGGAGATTCTAGAAAACTGGAAGGAGTCTTCGAAGAAATGACGCCGAAAGTAATTTCTGTATGTCGAAATCTAGAAAAAAAAATCTCTCTAGATAATTTTCGAAGGTGGCCGAAATAAGAACGAAATTTCCATAATATTGAAATTTCTTTGGAAAAATTGTCTCAAACTTCACAAAAAAATCTAGAATCTAGATCTTGATGTGCTGATTCGAAAAATGTAGCATATTTATGATCCTGGTGCAAGATTTTAGACCTAATTGGTTTGAAATTCGAATCTTTAAAAGAAACCCAAGATTACCAATCTTATTGAGAAATTTTGGAAAAATGGAAGGAGTTTTCGAAAAAATGAAGCCAAAGCTAACTTCTGCATGTCGAAATATCGAAAAAAGATCTCTTTAGGTAATTTTCAAAAGTAGTCAAAATAAGGTCGAAAATTCCATGAGTAATGAAAACTTTGAGGTATGGTCCTGAGCAAGATTTTAGAAATATTGGGTTTGAAAATCATTTAAAAAAAATGTAAAAAATGCCATTGGGCGATCCTGGATAAATGATCGAAGTTTTCGAAGAAAAAAAAATCCCGCAGGTCGAAATTTCAAAAAAAAAAAAACGACAATTTTCGAAGTCGAAAAACGGTCGAAATTTTCGTACTAAACGCGAAAATTGAGCTCTTGGAAAAATTGTCCCAAAATTAACAAAAAATTCTGAAATATAAATCTCGACGTGTTCATTCGAAAAGTATAGAATATTTATGATCCTGTTTTAACATTTTAGAAATAATCGGTTTGAAATTCGAATCTTTAAAAGAAAACCAAAATTGACAATTTCAGTGAGAAATGACGCCGAAAGTAACTTCTGTATGTCGAAATAAGGTCCAAAAACTGAGCTTTTGAAAAAGTTGCTTAAAAATCGTCAAAAAATTCTGGGATTTAGATCTCGACGTGTTGATTCGAAAATAACCTAAAAATGGACAATTCAATTGGGAGATTCTTGGAAAATTGAGAAAAATTTTCGAAGAGATGGGGCCGAAAGTAAGAATATCAATTTTTTAAAAAT